TATCCTTTAAAATGGAAAGGATGTTGTTTGATGAATAAGGTAAGTTGGAGAACAAAGGCCAAAAGACTTGAGGATGAGATGTGTCCAAACACAGCGAGAGGAAGAGATCTGAGAGAAAATGAAATGCTTCGGCAGCCAGAGAATAAAGTGACCATCATGTAATCAAGCAGATATGTGCACTTTATTGCTCACTTGTACATAAATTTAATGTTAACTATCAGACTCTAAATAGGAGTCCCTACCATTTCTACTTAGGATGTTTTCTTGACAGATTTGTTTTTTAACCAATCATGCCCCTGTGAATTCAATTTGGTGGAATGGAGCTCTGCCACCCTGTCACCACTCAGAAACCTAACTGATATAGGACCTACAATCTAAGTGGCAAAAGCAGGGTTGATGGAAGAATCATCTCATATTATAAAAAGTTACATTCCATCCTTTTATTTCTCTCCAAATATTCATCATTTCTGGCTTTTAAGGTCCTCAGAGAATCTGTCTTTTGACACACCTTTCAGCTACTTTACATAGTATTTCATACTCAGTGGAAATCTGTAAATTCAAACCTATCTCAATAATGTAGGAATCATTTGGAGGACTGAAGTAAAGTGGCTTTTCTTTCTCCAATTTGCTGTCATCTTTTGACCACTTTAGCACTCGCCCTAAGTAAAAGCAGGGAGGGGACAAAGAATTGGAAATCCATGGTGTTCTTCCTAAGAAGCCCTGCCGATGAGCTAGTGGAGAAGGGTGTTCATATAAGTAGACTAGAGGCCTGGTGTGTGAAATTGTGGTGGGTACGGTCCCTCGGCCTAGCCTGTAATCAGGGCCATCTCACCGCCACCCACCCCGGTTCCCTGTTTGCCATACGGCGATGGGAGCCTGACGGCCGGCCGGGGGCGGGACTGAGAGAGAGGTCAGCCATTGCTTCCCGCTTGCCAGCCCTACCCCCGCCGCTCGTCACCCTGTGTGTGTGGGGCAACCGGCAGGGCAGGGGCCTTGGCCTAGTGCTGCCCATAGCCCCCGCCACCCACCCAGTGGTTCCCATTCGCCATGGGCAATCAGAGCCTGCCAGCCGGGGAAAGGGACCAAGAGGTGGTCAGTGCACCTCATAGCGACTGGTCGAGCAGTCGTTCTGCCATTATGATTGCTGGGCTTTTATTAAATAGGGTAACTCTGATTCAAGGAGTCTGAGAACTCTGTGGACTCAGGTTCTTCCAATAACCTACAACTACAGATCCCAGGTGCACTTATGAATTGTGCGTTAGGGAAACAACTCCGCTTTCACGATTATTATATATACAGCTGTGGTCAAGAATTTTTTTTATTGTAAACTGTAGTGATAGCATGATGGTGTGGGTAAGAAAGGAGGATAGAGACCAGCAGAAGAAGGGCACTTGAGAATCAAGGAGCATCAGCAGCCAGGAAGGACACGTTCCTGGGGTTCAGTATTATCTCCTCTATGCCAATAAACTTAGGACAAAAAATATCCCTCACACCAAAAATTAAAAAATAAAAAATAAAAAAAAGATAAAACGCGTAGCTACCTATGTTGGACAACTGGTGTCAAAGGAATAGGATCATAATTCTCTAAGTTTGACTTCACCATTATTAGGCCACACGGAATTACACCTGTATATTAGTTTATAGCAACAGGTGAAAGGGCCAAGTTCTAAGGGTTAAACAATCTTACTAATGCTATTGATCATGGTATTGATAACTGAATTTTTAAAAATAGATATAATGGAGAAAAGAACAAGGCTGCTCCCTCCCTTGCCCTCGTCAGAGAAGTCCTGGAGGGATAATGATCAATACCAAGGAGGCAGCTGAAAGACTGGAGAATGACTCTGGGCCTACTGGGGAAGTGAGTCTTGGCTCACAAAGGGCCTTGGCTAAGACATGCACAAGCAAAAGAACAAAGGTAGGAAAAGCATTGTGGAAACAAAATTTCTGAAGCTTGAAGCCAGAAAGGGAAGGTAAGTTAGGACCACAGAAGAGAACTTTTAACAAGTGGGTGGTCCCATTTTCCCATACTTGCTTATGTGAGGCCACTGCGGTGATCTAACTGACCAAGTCCTAGACAGAGGTACAGAGGGACATTTCACCATCAAAACACTACAGCACTCAATCACATTCAATATCAAAGGACAATCTACTCATCAAAAGTCCTGTCTATAGACACAAGCTTTAAATCATGACCCTCATGCTGCCGGCGTGAGTGGTACAGCCCATGCTAGCGTGAAGATGGCTCTTTTGTTTATTGCATCGGACTCGGCTCCCTGGTGGTCCTTGGGGATCACGAATTCGTCTGGGATCCCCAGCCAGGACCATGAGGGACCCCGGTCCGGAGAGCCTGACTGGCCGTGGTAGGTGTGTGTTTGTCTGTGTTTCTGTGTGAGCGCTCTGGAGGGACTGCCCCTCCATCGGGGCTCTCACCTGGGTATTTGCCGGCTGCTGCGTCAGCCAAGGTTTGAGCCCGGATTCGAATCTGTAATAAATTCTAGCTGGCTTAATCAAAAAAATAAAATAAAAAATAAAAAAATAAAATAAAATTCATGACCCTATAATGGATAAACAAAAAAACATGTAGGAAAGGAGGGCATTAGGATTAGTAGAAACAATAAGACTAAGTAGAAAAATCTAATATTTTTAAAAAAAAAAAGGGTTTGAATCCTTGTGTGACTTGGAGGAAGTTCATCTCCTCCAGTTTTACAGTTTTTCCATCTGTAAAGAGAGGATAGAGTACCCATTTGTAACCTATGTGCCGTCTAGGGGCCACTGCCCTTATTTTCATACATCTGCTTCAAATGCCTAGTTCCATGGCCTCAGGGAAACATGTTTTCCTCACTGTGAACCTTCTGAGGATTTACTTTCTCAGAGCTCTTCAGACTCTGGCTCCTGTGCTCTAAGTTGCTTTCTCTGCTCTGCCTGAAATAATTCAAGACCCAGAACTCAAGCCAAGTATTCTGATTTTACTGACTCTGAGGATCTGCAGTCATAAGTTGGGAACGTATTACAGAAGTCTGTGCCCTCATCTAATTCCTTTACTTCCTCTCCCTCTTAGCTTTTATACCTTTCTCCTCTCCTGATTAAACTCCAGTTTCTCTACTTATATTAGGGGTGTCGAACTCAATCAGAGAAGGGGCCAAAATCTAAAATCCAGCCTAAATCGCGGGCCGAATGGTTTACTGAACAGTCATAAACTGTCATTGTGATGGAAACGCGGTGGAGTGCAGTGATGACAGCGCGGTGTGGGCCACATTGCAAGGCCTGGCGGGACGGATTTGGCCCGCGGGCCTTGTGTTTGACACATGTGAATATGATGCGAGTAGCTATACTCTCCTCTGAACTCCAGTACTGGTTAACAACTAAGCCTGAGACAGAGCCTATTTCTACCCCAAGCACTTATCAAAGTAGTTTCCCAATTAATACAATGAAAGAATTTTCAGCAAATTCTTGCACCAGCTGTTAAAGCTCTCACATTTTCTCCACTTGCTCATGTGACTGTGGGACTACTCTGTGGGGTAGGTAACTAAGACAAAAATATAACAAAGTGGGTGCACAATGCTTGAACATAGTAGACACTAATGGCTACCTTCATAATGGTGATGATCCGGGACTCAGCCCCCTGAAAGAGACCATGCCTACTCAACCAGGGAGGCCAATCACTTCCACAGGGAAGACCCTTGACTTTGGCCAAAATAACTGACACCATACAATCAAAAGCTAAGAAGGCCATAACCTTTCATCAAAAACACAAAATCTTCTTCGATTCAAAACATAAAACACCCATGACCCACCTAAAAGAAATACCATGGTGACAGAGCTGGTCCTCCTCAGAGGTCTGGCCTTTGGTGTTGCTGCCAACAAATGTTGGCCTGGTGGATTGCATGCTCTCTCTGAGGCTTGGCTGGTTATGACTGCTGCTGGGCAACAGCACAGCATGTCCAGGCATCTTTGCTAGGATTTTAAACTCGAAGTACTAAGGCACCCTACACCTATGCCTGGCACTATAGATGATTAAACTAAAATGGTGAAGTGTTCTAGACATTTCTCCCCCTAAAACACCAAGATGCGAGAAGAGAAAGTTCTGTGCATGCATTAACACTCACACACAGACGGTGGCTCACAGACAGGCCTGACCCTGGGCAGCACTGATGACTACTACTGTGTACACAGAGCTGCAGGCTACTAGTGCCAGCTGCTACTCTTTACAAGGCAAGGGTAGGGAACATCCACCCGTAGGCCATATAAGGCCCAAAAAATCATCTGTCTAGTCCTACAAAGGCATTAGGGGTGAGCTAATTAAATGTTTGACCAAATATAGCAAGCTAATTTTCAAGTTGATAGTTTTGTATGGCCTTTGTTATAAATATCCAAATGGATCTTGGCAAAAAAAAGTTTCCCCACTCCTGCTTTAAGGGGTGGGTGAACAGGAATCTAAGTGCACTCAAGTATATGAATGTCAGTTCAAGAGCCTCTATTCATTCTAAAAGCCATTTTAATATTAACCCAAGCCTAAATGAAATTCTGGGATATATCTGGTAAGAAAACTGTGAGAATGTAGTCAATTTCAGAAGTACTGAATCAAGGGGCAGCAGCCAGGTCTTTCTGGGTTATGAAGGGGCTCAAATCCTTAAGCCTAGACTAAGAAAACAGGAAGAACAGGAAGATATGACACAAAATTGTTTTATTCCAACCTCGTTCACAGTAACCTAAGAAGTTCAAGGAAGTAGAACTAAAAACTCCAAGGTTCTCGCCCCCAGTTTTCTTAACAAGTTAGTCCTCTGTTTGGGCAGACCTGTACTGAGTTTATCTTCATTGCTCATAATATCTCAATGAGCTCACTAATAAGTAACAACACAAAGAGCCACAAGAAAAGAAAACCGCTATATGTAGAGGTTATAACATTTTAGTAAAAGGCTACACTTGTTAATCTCGATTTTAAATCCATTAACCCAACTGAACACTTTCCCTAAAAACAGAGCCAGCGGCATCTCACTCACCTTCCTCAAAGCTGGCGTTCTTCTGTCTCACCAGGACACGGAAGTTTTCAGCAGGATTCACACTTCCAACCTAGAACACACCCACAGAAAATAACCCTGCAGATCACCCCAGGCAAGACAAGATGGCTTAATGTCGGAAGTGTCCTCTTATAAAATAAAACCAAAACCAGAGTGAAGGCCCTTCCTATTCATCTTCATTTCCAGGGTTCTGTTCAAAGCTAGCAGACACAGTTGCCGACTGTACTTTCACTTCCCTCCCTTTGTGCAAGCTGACTTCTTTCCAGAGAGGGCAGAAGTATTACTACCAAGCGACTAGCCAGCCCAGCTAGAAGGCTGTATGTGGCAAACCACCTATGCATCCTGACACCCAACCAATTAGGAAGAGGAGGATTCTGCAATGTGGGGCCAGCTCCAAATATCTGTCCTGTGAAGATGGAGTGAAAAGTAACAGCCTGATGTTTGATTCTCAGAACTTCCCTTTTTTTGCGGGGGCGGGGGGGGGGGGGGGGGGGGCGAAGAGACTGCTGCTAACCCTTTGGCATTGAAGTTTTGGTAGAATATAAAAATGTGCCCAAACTGAAGATGTCACCCAACAGTACAAGCAGATCATGTGTCAAGATTTATTGCAGTACTAGTTTCAAAGATGGAAATCTCTGCCACACTGTATGGAACTTTCTGATCATACTATGTCTTTCATCTTCCAGTCCCAACCTAAATGGGGCCTCAGTATCATTCAGCTCAAAGGGGCTCTATTATGGCTGGTAGACTTTGGCACAAAACATACTCAAATTTCCAGTTTGCTCTGATAAAGCAATCATAAAAGCTCTCCAAACAAATAAGGTAATAATTTTTTTTCCTTCACTATAAAACATTGAAATAAACCCCATATCATTTTTCAGACATTTAGTTTTTCTGAGAGCATTTCTTTTTTAAGAAGGGAAAAGGCATTCCCTAGTCCTAACTGACCTTCCCAGTGTACTTGGCTAGTAAGGGACAAATTTTAAGACCCAGTGATTCAAACTAATGACACTTAAAATAAGGCAATTATCTTCAAGTTCCAAAAACTTTTCCATTAAATAAAGGAAATCTCAGGTGTCTGAATGATATTTGGTTTGGAGAAATCCTAAACTTGTTTGGAAGTTGTATATCAGAAAGAAGAGTTACCCTCATATTTTATCTACTTGGAGATCACGAGTCATATCACCAACCTCTATCATTCTGACTAAACAGAAAGCTGCAAACTAAACAAAAAAAATCTCTACAAAAGCACTCCCACGGCAATGTTCCACGCTGTGTGTATTACATAATGCTCTGTGCACTGTGTATCATACAGATCATTTACAGGCAATTCACTGGCAGTAACTACTTCCAGGAAGGAAGTATGGGATGCCCCTGCCTGGCTTCCATGGTGGAAGGACTAACAAACACTGCACTGGGGAGAGCACGCTGGAAAAGTTCTGCTCACCTTGGTGACCGTGCCTTCAGCCAAGCTGGAGAGATTAAAGTGGGCTTCCCCTTCCTCAGTCTTCAGTTTCTTAGAGGTAGGTCCGTCCTCACTCCTGGTGAAGAAATAAATGCGGTTTCCCCTTAAAACAAAGCAACCATACAAAACCCAGAACTACTGAAGTGAAAACTATGGCTTTATTTTTCAAGTGTCAAAAATAAACAGCTGCTCTTGGTCCTCCTTTACAATGAGCCTGGCTCCCTTTCCCAACCTCAGCGCTCGCAGCCTGACCCTGACCCGAGCAGCCCCGGCTGCTTCACAGCATAGAGATCACAGTCAGCAGTTGCATCACAAAGCCTGTCCCAGATGCACCGAAAGCACAGGTCATGGGAATGAAACATTTCAGTAAGAATGTCCAATAATATCTGCTCTTCAGATATTATTCGCTGGTTTCTGTCTCAGAATGGATAGCTATTAGCTTTCCGTGTGCATAGAAGACATGTGTCTCCATCATGTATGAGAGAGCTTTAGAAACTTCCTCTTACAGCTTCAAAGCTTACAAGATAATCCTTGATCAAATATGCAAGAGCTAATTCTTAGAGAAGTCAAGCTATAAAAAAACGAATTCTGTGTTGGACAGTAAGCTAACAGAGTCCAAAAGCCATCTGTGTGGTGAGGGAAAGATGACTCCAAGGAAGTGTATCAAACATCTTGCTTCAAGCAACATTCTGGCTTTAACAGCCTGTCTAGAAGTCAGGAAGAAGTCAAGTTAATTGCAAAGAAGAAGAAAAATCAAATGCAAAGGCTCTGCCCATAATCTCCCTTAAGCTACTGAACACTGAGATATGAAGATTTTCCTCCCAGACAAATAATCAATCCAGGGCAAATGCAGCTGTCAAGAAATGGCTGAATGAGAAGGGAAATTACTAGGATCTAGTATTTCTAAATGTGATGTGTTTTTGTTCAAAAGCCCAACCTTCAGGCATTGAGGTATGAAGAAGAGGTATCCTAAAATTAAAGCAAAGAACAATAAGGCATGAGCGGGCTTATTCAATGCTGTTTCAATAATGAATCTCCTCTTACAGCTAGATGAAGTACTACAGTAATCAGAGCCTTACAAAAACATGAATTAAAAGTTTTAGTACTTGACATCTTTCTCATTCACCACTTGCCTTTTTTCCTTTGAAGGAAAAAAAAAAAAAAAAGAAAAAGAAAAAGGAAAAATAGAAGACAGAAGGATGGGGCCCAGGAATTATTAAAAGGGGTGAATCATCCTGAGCTCTTTCCTTCAAATAGAACAGAAACTGAGCACACAAAGCCTTGATGGCAAAAATGGAGGAAAATGCACAAACCCACAGCAGCATGAAATTCCTCCAGAATTGGAGTCCATGCAAAACCCTCACAGTCATCTCAGTTCATCTCTGCCAGGTGTCCCTATGAAACAGACAATATGGTACTGCTGAAGATTTGGAAACCAAAGAGCTAAATTCTAGTCTGTTTCAAAACTCCCTAGCCCTGACATTTTATGCCTCCTTATAAATATTGATTTCATATTAATTCCAGTATATCTAGAGTTTAGACTCTAGTAAGTTACTAGACTCTCTGATCTTCAATTTGCTCCTCAGGAAAACACTAAGATAAAAAGTACCATGAGTATATCAACTATGTACCTGTTCTCTTCCAGAGATACAAATCTATACTAATAAAGAGTAATATGCTAATTAGACCAGGTTGACCAGACATCTTCTGGACTTCCAACTTCCTTCTGGACAAAGCCATGGTGACGGGGGCCTAGGCAGAGGGGGTAGGGGTGATCAGGCCGGCAGAGGTAAGATTAGGGGCAATCAGCAGGCAGGCAAGTGGTTAGGAACCAGGGGTCCCAGATTGTGAGAAGGATGCCCAACTGCCGGTTTAGGCCCAATCCCGGATAGGGCCTAAACCGGCAGTTGGTCATCCCTCAAGGGGTCCCAGATTGGAAAGGGTGCAGGTCAGGTTGAGGGATACCCCCTACCCTCCTACCATGGACAAGTTTTGTGCACCCAGCCTCTAGTTAACTTATAAGATGGTATTAAAAAGCACTAAATATGCAAAGTACTGTGCTAAGTTCTCTGAGAATACAAGTTTGAATCACATAAAGAATTTCTTAAACCTTCTAAGATAAGATTCATGGGAAAGAAGGATAAGAAGATATAAATTCCAGTTCTTCAGAACTGAGCAGGTGAAGGCAGGCCCAGGAATAAGCAGAAAGTAGTGAAATTTTAATATGATTAATATTATCAAGATTAAATCATTTAATAGCATTATTAGGAATTCTACATATATTGAACTCAGACTGTCTACTTGAAGTGGGAAAGGGCAATGGCTCTCATCTTACTTATGAAGGAGTGGAGCCCTGGGAGGTAGAAATTATCCATGCAGAGTCACAGTAGACACACAAATGTTAGGAGCCGCTGCATTTGGATGTTGGGACCATAGGTAATTCATTGTTCTTTCTCCTCTTCTCATTTTCTTTTATAAATAGGTATACATTTTGTAATTCATTTATTTAGCCAAATATTTACCTAATACAATGTGTCAGCCACTAAAACTAAGCAGAGCTCTAGGTGCTAAATACTAGTATACCAAAATTAATATTCAATCAACACCTTTAAAAAGTTCAGCAAAATAAAAAAGATAAATATATAAACACACAATTAACAAAACATTGTGGCAAGAAGCACATCCCTGTAAGAGGATAGCAAGTCGCTGTGTTGGGCATGGGGTACATGCTGGGAAGTAGTGAGAGATAAAGAAAGAAAATATCTAAATTACTAGAGGCCCGGTACATGAAATTCATGCACAGGGGAAGAGGGTGTCCAAGAAATAAGGAAAGCCACTTCATAATACTAAAGGGTCAATACAACAAGAGGATTATAACCCTGGTAAACATGGTAAACATATATGCACCCAATGCAGGATTACCCAAATTCATAAGAAGAAAAAAACTCCTGGAAGATATGGGGGGGAGGGGGAGGGGAATCAACAACAGTACAATCATAGCAGGGAACTTTAATACCCCACTGATGTCACTAGATAAATCCTCTAGACAAAATCAGCAAAGCAACAGCAATCCTAAATGACTCAATAAATCAGATGGACTTAATTGACTTCTTCAGAACATTTCTTTCGTAATCTTCTCATTGTTTAATAGCATGCTATTCAGCTTCCAAGTGTTTGAATTTTTGTTTGTTTGTTTGTTTTTATTGTAGTTTATTTCTAATATGCCATTACGGTCTGAGAAGATGCTTGATATTATTTCAATCTTCTTGAAAGGAATGGGTTTGAGGTAAATCTAATATATCTTGGTAAACTAACTAGATATGGAAAGTAAAAAAGTGATGACTTCCTAGAAAATAGATGTCATTCACTAAAATAGAGAATAAAAAATAGCATGAATTGGGGTTTAAAAGGAGCATGGAAGAAAAAAGAGGATGAAGTCATTTCTGGACACATCAAAGTTGAAGTAATGACAGATACTTAAGATACAGTGGATAGGCTGGAAATATGTCAGGACGGACAGATACTTAATAGTTTTTGAATATGTGCATGTGGAATAATCAAAGGTCCTAGAACATGCATTGCGAAGGCAACATGGCACAATGGGTGAGAGTGCCAGCTCTGGAGCTGGACTGCCTGCCTTTAAATCCTCACTCCAACACGCAGTCAGCTGTGATCTTGGGCAAGTTTCTTGTCTTCTCGAAGCTTCAGTATCCCCAGCTTTGAGATGGGGGTTATAGAAGAACCTACTTCATAGGATGGCCCAAAGGATCTACAAAGGTAATACATGTCAAGCAAAGCATTCAGCACATACCTGTGTCCAATAAGTGTCAGCTCTTTGTGAGGAAGAGTCCTACAGAACATCCACATGTAAGGTTGGTGGGAAAGAAAGCAGCCCCCAGAGGAATTGAAGCAGGAGCTGTCAAAGATTTAGACAGAACCATCTAGAGAAGCTGAAGTTAAGGAAGATATATGAGTTCCAAGAGGCAAAGAATAAATGACAATGTCAAGTGCTTCCAAGAGGTGAAGAAAGAAAGGACTGCCAAGCTAACGTGCATTGAAGCAGTTGGTGTCTTTTGGAAGAACAGCTTCAGGGAAGCAGTGGGGGCAGGAACCCGAGACAATGGGTGCCCAATAAAGAATCAAATCAGTGGACTATTCTGCCAATTAGCCTGGCTTATGGAAGGAAAGAAAACAATAGGTAATAACTAGAGGGGGAAGCGAGAGATTTATTTTATTTTATTTTGCTACAGAGGAAAGAAATACAGTGTTAATGTGTAGAGGGAAAGGAGCTGGTACAAAGGGAGAAGTTGAAAATACAGAAAGAGGGAAGAAATTAGTATTGGACTAAGGTACCAGATGAGACAGATGACATCAGGACAGAGGTGAAAGGCTTAACTTGGGACAGCGTGATACTATTAATATTTTGGGTTTTGACTATTGCCTTCCCTTCTAAATAGTTCAAAATGCTTATTAAATTAAATATTCATTTAAGAGATATTATTACAATATCTGTTGAGATGGAGACACTCTCAGAAAGGTAAAATTATTTAACCAAAATCACATAAAGAGTTCAAAGCTGGAATGAAGACTCATGATTTCCCGTCCAGGGCTCTTTGTGTTGGCCTCTGACACTTCCTACACTGACATTTGCTCACTCTCTAGTCTTTGTCCCTTTCCCCTACACAGGAAATATGTGCCCTAAATACAGAGACACTGAATATACACAAAAATATAATCAGTTTTTAGCAATTTTCTTCTCTTTGGGAAGACCACTTCCAAAGCTGATGGGTACCTTACCGTAAAAATTAAGGGTTGCAAAGATCTTGTGGAAGGAGCTAAATCTTTCTTATTAAATATAGAAAGTACTCAATAAATATTTGTTAAATGCATAATTTCTGCAGTTCTTAAAAACAAAGATTTCTGAAGAAAGGTAGAGAATGAAAGTGTGAGTGGGTAAGTGAAAGCGATAAAATTCTCAGGTCCCAGGAGACACTCAAGCTTCCAGAAAGAATGAAGGGTAGGATTAGAGCTGAAGGTGTCATCATAGCCAGGACCAAATCACAGAACAACAGCCTCTCTTTGTGTGTGTGTTTTTAAGTCAGCTAATACACATTTTAATCCAGAGGAGAAGGGAAATGACCCCTTTCTTTCCCACAGCAGCAGAAGGTAATCAGGATCAGGAACTGGAGCCTTAACACAGAGAATAGCTGATGACTGCGGAGAGGCCAAAGCTAGGCTGCCATGGGAAGAAAAGGACTTCACATTTCATTAAACTGTTCTAAAGTACTAATCCCGAGGATATAGATAGATGAGGCCCACAGAGAGAAAGTAAACTTCCAGTGACAGCCTTTCTATGTAGAACAAAGGGTGACAGGCTAAAGAGAAACAAAAAACTCTCCAGAATATGTCAGGAAAGCACGTGATAGAATCTATCAGTTCCATGATTATTTTTTTTCCCCTTCTAACAAAGCTGGGCATATTAATCTCTAAAAAGCCACAGAAAGCATAAAGTTTTCTATTCAACTTGGAAGATGATTCATTAAATAAGCAATTTACAGAACACTGTGAAGGTTTTTGGAAATTATTCAGTACTCTTCCAATGGGGTAATTACAAATAAGCTTTACTTGTCAATAAAGATACAGCTGTGGGAAGGAAGAAAAAAAAAATGTGGCCTAAAACTAGATCACAGAATCCAATCTAAACAAATGAACAGATCATTTTGATTTGGGAGGTAAAGTCACCAATAACCAAACCTAAAACTGGTAAAAAACAAACAAACAAACAAAAAAAAAACATCACTGTTATACATCCAAATGATTCCGGATAATAAAAAACAATTTCTTATGGTTTGTTTCTGTTTTGTTTTGAATGGGAATTGATACAGATTCTGAAAAGAATTTGCTGAGGGAAGAAAAACTTAATAGCTTCCTGAAAGCTTGATTTGATTTGAGAATTATATGAGAAGCATTTTGCTATCCTTATAATGCAAACACCTCACTGATGCTATAACCAAGTGCATCACTGACACAGGGCCAGGTCTTTTCACTCCCCTTCCCACTTCCCTCCAAAAATCTCACTGCCGTTCTCCTGATATCTAACCTCCCAAACAAAAACCTTATGACCTTCACCCCTCTCCTCTCATTCCTAGCTCCCTACTTCAGAAAATGGTAAAATTTAGTATTAATTTTGTTTAGCCTTTATGTGTGTGTGTGTGTGTGTGTGTGTGTGTGTCTGTGTGTGTGTGTGTTAAGCAAGAATTTGATGCTGATTAAAAAGCCGACAGCCCAGAAGGTAGCTCTCCATTCCAGGTGAATAACAAAAATAAAACAGACCTACAATGCACAGATGAGAAACCGGTATTTTCAAGGCCAGTGTCAAATAACCCCACAGCCAACCGTCAGTCCTGGAGGCCCAGTCTATGACTACCACAGGTCTTATGCTGTCTGATGTGAAATGCAGCCACAGCATTACTTACTTGTCTTGGAAAATGTCCTGAGCAGTCAGTTGATCCTTTTTCTTGATGGCTTCAGTCAGAGGGAACAGGGTCTTTATTTTGGAGAGAGGAATCTCACAGTTAGCTGTCACCTCAGCGGGGGGGTCCAGCATATTTAGAACATGCTGCTGAACCGGGGGCAGCGGCTCCTGAGGATGCAGAGCTCTGTGCAGCAGACACTGTGGGGAAAGTAGAAGGATTTTAAAATGCAAGTAAGTGGCAAAGACCGTTTGACGTCCAGTTGTCAAAGACATCGAAGAACTTATACTTGATTACACTTAGACTACTAATGCATTCACTGAGTCAGGCCTTACATGTTAAGCTTTGTATTTCTAATTTTAGAACAAAAGTTGTTTTCCCTCTGCCCCCCCTCATTATTTAAAGGAATTATAAACATTAAAAACAACAACAACAAAACCCACACACACAAAAAAAAATCCCCACACACTTTCTCTTGTGTAGAAGATCCCTCAAAATTACAGCGGGCCCCAATATGGCCCTGAGCTAGTTAAGGATGCTTTAAGAAGTGCGTTAATAGGGAGTTGAGGGTCTCTCCATCCACAGCCCCACCCCTTCAGAAACAGGCCCTCCACTGCTTTGAGAGGAAGAGTTTGCCTGAAAAAGCTGCCTGTGATCATTTTCCGTTTTGGGGGTTCAGAAAGGCCTAAGTCCTGCTGTCACTGAGTTAATCCAGGACTGGAATACTCCTTCCCTTCAACCCTGGCCTTTGCTCAGCATAAATCAGTTCTTTTTTCAACTTCCCGTTTCCCTTAATCCAATCTACACCTCCCAATTCCTTTGACCCAAGATTCAGTAATTCATATTTCCCTGTACTTTAGTTACTCCTTAATAGTTTCATACTATAACCTCTTTATCTGACCTTTATGCTACCTTTAATTATGAGATTTTTGACAAATGTGACACCAGAACATTTGTTCCCTAATAGTGATTATTATAAACTTCATTAAAACTCTACTATTTGGATATTTTAAAAAAGGAGAAAAGCCTGGAAAACACATAGAAGGAAAATCGGCTGAAAAAACAACAGCCTTTCTCCAAAAAGAAATTAAAAGCACCCTAACTTGACTTCTTTCTTTCCAAAAGCTCAGAGTATTTTTCTCTTTTAGTAGAAAGAAGGTAACTTTCTCCCATTAAACATATAGAGCAACTGAGAAGATTAAAAACATTTGCTAGTGACTGGTCAATTACCCTAATTTTTCACTCAGTTCTCTTTCATTTAAAAAAAGTATGATTGGTTCATCTTTCCTTTCTCACCTGAAACAATCTCTGAAATTGAGGATTTGGGATTTTGGTGGTTGGAAATAAGTCCTCAATGGTGTCCGCCTCTTCATCTTTCTTGACCAAGCTCATGGAGTCAATTAGAGCATCAACAGCACTTAACTGTGCCTCTGAAACAAGGATAAACAAAGAAGCAGAAAGAAAAATAGACGAACTCTATTATTTTCCACTAAAGCAAATGCTTTCCACTCATAGCTATTCATAGCAATACTGGCAGGTTACACAGCCCTGGCTCTGCCAAATATAGTCTCCAGTTATGCAAATCATTTACCTTGGTCTTGGTTTTCTTATATGTAAAAATGAGTTATTTAGAGTAACGGGTCTCTTAGGTCCTTCCCAGTTCTACCATTCAGTGAACTTTGGACAATGGAAATCATATCAAAAGCAAGAGAGTTTAGCCCTGGACCATGAGGCTTAGTTGGTTGAACATTGTCACATGCACCAAGAGACTGCTGTCAGGGCACATGCCCAGTTTTTGGACTCCATCCCCAGCAGAAGGTGTGCAGGAGGCAGCTGATTGATGTTTCTCTCTCTTCAATGTTTCTCGCTCTCCCTGCCTTCCTCTAAAATTAATAAAATCATATTTTTTTAAATAAAATGGAATGCCACATAAACCACAGACCACAGCCACACAAAACCCAACCTGTATACAACAATTCAAAATATTCAGAATTCAATGAATTTTTTTTAAAAAATTAGTAATTAAAGGAGAAAAACATTTAAAAAGCCCTGACCAGTGTGGCTCAGTTGGTTGGGCTTGGTCCCGTGCATTAAAAGGTTGCTGGCTCTATTCCCAGCACATGCCCAGGTTGTGGGCTCAGTCTCCAGTAGAGGGTGTGTGGGAGGCAGCAAACTGATGTTTCCCTCTCACACTGATATTACTCTCTCTTCCTCTCTAAAAATCAATATAAATATTTTTTTAAAAATAAAGAAAAAAGCATTAACTTTATAAGGATTTAATAGAACTTGTATCACAGTTTAACGGGAAGAAAGCATTGGAGCAGAGTGAGCTGATTCCTTCACAACCCCCCCCTCACCCCCGCCCCCTCCACCTCCCCCTCTCCCCCCTGCCCCTTGCAAGTCAGAAGGAGCCCTTTCTTCTCACAAATCCCATGGCACTAAGCACACTCTGTATATATGCACACTTGTGTTCATGACTTATTCAAACTCTGAAGATCCTGAAGAGCAAACACATGACTTCCTTTTCTTTCTGACTTTTCTAAAACCTAAAAGAAAGCAAGGGCTCCTCAATAAAAATCGGCCTAGTCAACAAAAACCGACATGCCCCAAGGCAATGTGGATGAAAGGCAACTCTCTCAGAAATGCTTCTACTTAAACTACCACGTGTCACTTTCATGCTGCTGATTCACACAGCAGTTCAGTTCCTAAAAGCTGAGGTGCTAATTTTGGATCATCCACAGGCACTCCACTAAAGGGAGAGAAGAGTAAGCAGTTCCTGAAACACCCATTATGCTTCTGTCCATCACTGCTACAAATTTCCCTGTGAACAGCTACTACAGAAGAAAAGAGCATGCAGATATTTATCATAAAACCTTCCTTGCCCATATCTGGACTTTCTAGGGAGGCTTCAGGCACTGGCACAGCCATCATCATCGTAAGCTGACTACGTAAACAACACAGTAAATAGGTGGCACCTGTGTATGAACATGCAGTGGTTTTCATTTGTCGTTACAAGCTATCAGGCTGTATCAGGCCAGATCACTCTAGCACTGCACACCCCTACATAAATCATAAATGTCTACTTGGGAAATATGCCAAACAGTTTTAATAATACATTTTTCCAATGGAGAAAATGCAAACAAAACAGTCAACTCACAGAAAATAAATCAACAGGTCGAGAGATATTTAATGTATTATTTAGGTCCTGAATGAATGGTTTATGACCATAATTTCTCAACCAAGGTCTCTTTTTTTAAATGTTCTGCTCATTTAAAGTTTAGGATGACTAAGAGGTAGGGAGAGACAACTCTAACATGTTGAAGTCCACGCCTGGACTTGGACTCATTTCAAGAAGAAGGGAAAGACACAAGCCCCAGAAGCTCATTTGTTTCTTGGCTTTCCTACTGCTGCACACTTCGTGCAAACGGTCTAACCAAAGAAACACACAGAGAAACCAGCTTTGAGAGTCACCTACTATTCCCTAATCCTACAAAGGCAAAGAGAAAAACTTGTAAACTAAAACATCTACTTGTCCTTGTGGTATGTTCTCTACATCTGGCCCACTACTATATTGTGTTACAGCTGTCTTAAACTGTGAGCTCTCTGGAAGATAGGATCTGCATCTGTGAGACTCATTCTGTGCAGCCCCTGACCTTTGCAGCCAGATGCTTAATAATGGCCTTTCCACGCCAAGCTCAAAGTAACTCCTGGAAATGAGGAACAGTGCGACTTAAACTGTTACCATGAAACTACGAAGAAAGGGCAAAGAGAAAAGGCAATCTCCAGCACTATCAATCTTCAAGTCAAAGTTATAACATATTTTATGTATGACACTAAACATATTTTATGTATGACACTAAAGTCCCAGGTTTAATACTATATATGTCAACTCGCTTCTATAAAGGGCAAACCTGGTCACAACTAGAGAATGTACATCCATTTCTAGCAAGCTGCTTCCTAGATATAAATCCTAAGTCAGAAGCGGGAACCTAGAGGGTGTTTGGAGAGTTCAGGGAAATCCTGTCCTTATTACTGGAAAAACACATGATGAACCATCTTCATTACTGTGTATGATGCGACTTGGACCCAACTGACTCCATCCTGCGAAACTCTGGCCCCAGCCAATGACTGCAGACAGGTGATTTCCCAGGAACAGTTTGTGTTTGGAGCCAATTAGTGAGCAAAATGGAAATAAACTCACCCGTGGGAGTGTATTTCTTATTATTTTTCAATGATGAAAACATATATTGCCGCAAGTCTTCCATGAAAGGCAGCTGCACATACACCAAACACTAATGAGAAAGAAAGGAGGTAAAAGCAAAAACAATCCAATTAATAAAAAAATATAAAACTGGTCCCAAGTGCTGTGAAAGTGGCACAACAAAAATATTTCGAAAATCAGAAGTCCCAAAGCTGGTGCATGGGAAGTACAGTGTTTTGATTACAGTTACTAGCTGTACACAGCTGCAAAGAGTACAGAGAATATTAAACATGAAAGACATGTCAAAGAAAGATTACCAAAGGATGCCTAGGAAATGTATGCCCAATACAATAAATAAGAAGAGTCAGGAAGGTTGATGTGCAAGTCAAGTCATTTGCTGTCCCTTTTTCAGTTCTGCCACAGTAAGATCTTTGAGGAATAGATGATATAAGAAATGCAGACCTGTATTTTAAATAGGACATCGCCAACCAAACTGACTTTCACAAGAATCACAACAAAATCTCATCTTCAAACTTTATTCATAGTAAATAAAGGCTATTCTAAAAAATTAAAGGTAATCTATTCCTATTAGGTTCTGAGATTGTCAGAAAGGAGGATAACCAAGAGAAAGTCGCTGGATAGGGCAAACAGGAGGTCATGGTTAACCTTTAGTGATTTGATCAAAAGGTCCTTTACATACTCATATTAACTTATGTTCTTCCATTGTAACTGAACATGTGGTTCACAGGCCGGCAACATCAACATTAGGAGATTGTGAGAAATGTAGAATCCCAGGCACCACCCCAGAATACGGAAACAGAATTCATTTTAACAAGCTGTCCCAAGTGACTCCCACACATTAAGTTGAGAAGCACTCTTTAGAATACAGAAACTGAAGGAGGAAAATCAGAATAAGAGCCCTGTGGGTTGTACCTCATAGGTGTCCTTGATGTGAGGAAAAGCCACGCCAACCTGAGGATTAGATCGTCTGTCGTAAGCATAGCGGACTATGGCCACCATGGCCAGTTCATCCAGAGCGTGAATTAGGGCGGAAAGGGCCACCGCTGCTGCCTAATAAGAAAGAGGCAGCATTAACACAGATCCAACACGGGAGAGTTTTCACAACGGAGCCACACACTCGTAAGACTGTGTTCCACTGTCTTCCTGTTTCAGGTTTTTAAAAATTTATTTATTTTTAATCCTCAGCCAAGGATATTTTTCCATTGATTTTTAGAGAGTGGAAGAGAGAAGGAGGAGCCTGCAACCAAGGCATGTGTCCTTGACGGGAATCGAACCCAGGACTCTTTGGTCTGCAGACCAACGCTCTATCTACTGAGAAACACCAGGTAGGGCTCAGATTTTTTTTAAAGTGCACCTTCACCCACTTCAAGGCCACTCTATTCATCTGCGTTTGATCACATTTACTTTACCTCTTCCGGAACTTTACTTCATTATCTAAATCCTCCCTCTTATCACTCAATCTTCCTTATCCTCTGAATTCATACCCTCACCCTCTACATAAACTTAAGTCTCAGCCTTCCTAAACAAAATCTTTCTTTGTCCCCCTTTCTCCATAAATGACTACATGTATCTTTCTTTCTTTTCACCTCTAAATTCCATGAAATAATCATCTTGTTGTTGTCACTGCTTAGCATAGGATTGTTCTTCAATCTAATCCATCTACTGACCTGTCTTACTGACATTATCTTCTGAAGTCACCCATGACCTCATTGCTAAGCCCTTGGCTCCCGTTCTCCTTGACCTCTCAGTAGCAGGTCCATCCCCTTTCCCTGAACTTTCTCATCTGTCTTCAGGTAACACTCCCTCCTGATTATTATACATTGTGAGCCACTCCTCTCTTCCTCCAACTAACCTGACGCTCTGCTCTGGACCTCTCCCTCCTCCTCTTACTCTAAAGCTCCACTTGGGGATTATTTTATCCAGTCTCATGAGTTGATGAATCAGCTTTAACATTCTTCTAAATTCCAGACTTACAGTCAGCGGAAGTTAACAATGCAGTTAAGATGTGTTGACAATACATCCCAAAACTGCATGATTACCAACAGGATCTGATTTAGGAGAAACCCAGGAACTCGGATTTTTAAATTGGAGGATTCGCATATTAGAGCCCATTGTGCTCCAGTGAATCTGTGCAGTACTGAGTGCTCTCTCCTAACGTCAACTGCTCTGATGGAATAATGGCATCTCCATTTACTAGATTTGCTGCCAGCTACCCTTCAGAAGTGAGGAGAAAGAGAGAAGTAAGAGGACTAGATCTCTTATACCATCACCCTTCCCCTCACCCCAAACAAGCCTTCTACCTCTACTAATTTTAAATGTATAGAGACCTGCTTCAGTAGCCTTAGAAAGACACTATATTCTAATCTTCCAGCTTGGATCAGCATCTCCAAGGAAATAAGTTCTGACTTGGAAGCCACACAGAAAATATTTAGAGAGGGCAGGTGAGTGTAGGATGCAAGGGTCATGGGTTGTTAGCCAGGCAGAAACCAGCCTGAACACAGAATCTCTCGGGAAGGTGGGGAAAGAGTGCAAAGAGATGGGGGTTGGAAAAGACAAATTTCTCAATGACAGAAGGGGTCCAGAGAGTCAGTGAAGCTCCTCTCCAGGACACTAGAGCCAGTACTAAATGTCCAATATCGACCACAATGAAAATGGCAACCTGACTCCAACCTTTCTGATCATGGGACTCTGAGATCCCCATACTAAATGCATGTGTTCAAATAGTTTTGTTTTTAACATTCACCTGCTGTCCAATGGTAGGACTATTTCCTAAGGTCTTGTGCTCATGCTATGACAAATTCATTAGTCATTTCTTCATTTTCAGAGTGAAAGGACAATGAATTTCCCCACTGCCGTTACAACATTAATGTCATTTTAAACTATAAATGTCCCAAACAATTCACTTAAAATGACAATTTAGTTCTGTGACACTACCTCAAAGACCCATTGTCAACTCACCTCATCATCTTTTGCTGCAAAGACTTTTAGAACTTGATTTCCCATGAAATATTTCCTGTGGACCTACAAGAGTAAGTGAGGAAAGAATCAGTTATGATCCAAAATAAGTTATACATAAGACCATAAAGCCACAGTTTGCTAAGAAATTCCATTCAAAATGTTCTTACTGAAAAACATTGACAAGTACTGGAAACAACATATTACCTAAGATTCAACACAATAAATATATGAGCATCTAATATGCATCAAAATTGTACTGGGCACTATAAACACAATAATGAATAAGATACAGATTGTCCTGAGGAGCTTAGATAAATATTAAATTAACCACAGTGCAGTACTAACATTCAGTGCTATAAGGACACAGGAATAGACTTATAATACAGTTTGGTAACCACAAGAGCACATAAGAAGGGCATCTAGTTTGGTCATGAGGGCTTGGTCATGAGGGCTCGGGGAAGGCTTTTGCAAATGGTGACACCCAAGTTAAGATTTAAAGGATGTGTTTGGAACGGAGATGAAAAGTCTGGCCACAAATATCCTGGGAAGAGATAATAGTGTGTTAATCTAGAGTGACATAAAACACAGGAAGTATGTTTGGGCAACTGCTTCTGGAGTAGTACATTGCCACAGTTCAAGGGGGAAGGGGGAAACTAGCGAGATTAACAACAACCAATTATGATCTCTTATCAGCAAAATTAAGTGGTCCTAAGAGCAACGAAGAACTGCAGAGACCAGAGCAAAGAACTAAACAGAAGGGGAGCACTGGAGGAAGGGTAACTAAAGCAAAAATAAACACTGTGTGTTCTTTTGCCCCCTTTAGTTACTCACAGTATCAAAGGGGTCAAAGGTGAGATATGAACACTAAAGAGTTCCCACCTGCACCTATTGAATAAGATGAAAGAACTTCTCTCTCGTCTAGGGGCCCTTGAGCCTAAAGCTTATTTATAAGAATATGCCACATGCTGCATAAGGCAATGCTTCTAAAATGTTTTGGGTTTCAATTGCCCTTCCACCTCTAAAGCTGAGAAATTATGAGCACTGTCGCAGTAGCTCAAGACTAAGTCTCAAAGGTATGGATGTAATTCATGGGTATAGGCCCATGTAATTCAAATTCCCTCCATCTCCACTTCCATTCCCCATTTGAGAACCATTATTTGAAGAAATATGGGAATAATCCTATATTTTTAGTTTGCTACATTTATATAAATTTGCCCTCCTATCAGAATTTGTAATAATTCTTGATTGATTAAAGAAGAGCTAATGAAATCTCTTCCTAAGGCACCTAAATGACTTTTCAAAAGACAGCCAGACATTTAGGGGAAGTTCTGGCTAAATTCTTATCTGTCTATAATTACATATCCAGAACACTGACAACTTGGAGAAAGACAAATTGAAAGGACTCTTGAAATTTTTAAAAGAAAAATAATTCACATTTCAAAAAAAGAAAAAAATATCCCAAACCAAAAATCCTATTTTATAGAATGAAAACTTTTACATAATTTCAACCCAGAAATGTTAGTTTCCCTCACTTTAAGGGAATTTGAAAAATATGTGATTTTATCAATTTAATGATAATTACTCATCTGTTACAAGGTGCCTCCTTATACTATCTTAGTTGACAAGATGATGTGTATACATTTGTTAAGATGATACACAAAAGTAGGTATGTAAAACTTAGACTGTTCAAAAATGAGGCTGTCCATCTGGTGGGAAGATTACAACTGACCAATGGCATAAGCTTTGGAATCAGAGCCCTGGTTCAAAGCCCACCTCTACCACCTTCCAGCAAGGTGACCTTGGGCCAGTCATTTAACAGCTCTGAAGCTCAATTTCCTAATGTATAAAATACATATCATAGCATCTACCTAAGAGGGTCACAAAAGAATGAAATGGGAATTTATATAAAATGCTTAGTATAATGACAGGAGTATTATAATCGCTGGATAAATGATAGCTATTATGTTATCTTCATTGTACCTGTCTGAGATTATACTTAAGATAAAAATAGTTTAGAGCTTAAAAACAAGAGTCCAAAATAGTTCATGACTTAAAAGTTTATAAAAATCTTTTTAAAAGGTGAAGGGATTAAGAAAAACAACAACAAAAACCCTCACAGACACAGACAACAGTATAGTGATTACCAGCAGGAAAGGGGAACAAGGAGAGGTAGAAGAGAATAGAGGGGAGAATAAATGGTGGATGGAAGGTTACTCGATAATATAATACATAAATTATGTATTATAGAATTGTATACCTGAAACCTATATAATTTTATTAATCAATGCCACCCAATAAATTCAATAAAAAGTTTCTAAAAAATGGAAAATGTACTTTTTGTCCAGCTCATTCTTTCTTGCTTTGCCATTCACTAAATAGGCTCCCCCAGACCCAGCCAGGCATAGATGATTTCAATTTTTTGAGTTCTGAATTACATTTGCAGATTTTTTTGGTCTTATTTTATTGTTGTTTTTAATATATTTTTATTAACTTCAGAGAGAAAGAGAGAGGGAGAGAGAGATAGAAACATCAATGATGAGAGAGAATCATTGATTGGCTGCTCCTGAACACCCTCCTTTGGAGAATCCAGCCAGCATATGCCCTTGACTGGAATTGAACCCTTCAGTCCACAGGCCAACACTCTATCCATTGGGCCAAATGGTAGGGCTGCAGATGTTTTGAGTAGGTCTTTTCTGCCTGTCTGGAATTAGGAAGGCCACTTTCCAATAGGCCAATTTGTACAAACAGGTCTGACTAAAGGTTCTGTTTCACTGAAAAGACTCATAAGCACTGACACAAAATAAACACAAATTTTAAGTTTACATACCTCCCAAAGTGAGTTCACTTTGGGAAGTATATAAAGCATATTTAGTATAATTTGTTAGAAAATTATTAGAGACTCTCAAATCCCAAAAAGTATTCTCACCATTAAAATTTCATCAACTTTAAATCTTCCCAATTTTCAGCTTACGAGTCTTAAAAATGTATCTAACAACTGACACATATCATGAAAATGATTCTTTCAACTTCAATGAATTATTCTAACACTGAATTATACAGGGACTATATACTTAAGCAACATGAAGAAGTTCAAGCCCAATATACTGGATAATATTTATTTTTATTATAATTCTCAATTGAGTTCATCTAGAATCAACAAAAATATTTATCCTTATAGAGCCTGAAAAGATACATTTTATACTGATTTCATTTTCATTCACCTCACAAATAATTTTATCTAAGATATCCAAGAATCTTTAATAAGCCTTTCTAGGGCAGTATACGGTATCCCAGAGCCTTCAGTGAATTGCTGCATTTCCCACTGGGTCTATTTTGTGTATCTCTGCATTGGTATCTAAAAAGCATATGGATAGCTAGGATTTGGAAACAGCCTAGGTGCCCATCAGCAGATGATTGGATAAAAAAAACTATGATACATCTACACAATGAAATACTATGCTGCCATAAAAAAGAAGGAATTCTCATCATTTGCAGCAACCTGGATGGAATTGGAGAACATCATGCTGAGTGAAATAAGCCAGTCAATGAAAGAGAAACACCACATAACCTCACTCATTTATGATAATAAAGAACATTATAAACTGATGAACCAAAAGATAGATATAGAGATAGCAAAGCAACAAGCAGACTGTCAAATTACAGCGGAGAGCGTAGGGAGATCTGGGGGAGATAAGAGATCAACCGAAGGACTTGTATACATGCATATAAATACAACCAATGGACACAAAACTCTGGGGAGGGAGGGTATGTATGGTAGGGGGTGGCAATGGTAAGATATGTACACAGATAATAATTTAATTTTAAAAAAGTATTAAAAAAAATAAATAAAAAGCATATGACATGAACAAATTTCACATCTTGGACCTTCTGCTGGGCATTGAGATGGACGGTGACTGGCATAAATCAATGATATTCTAAGAGGTCCATTGACATTCAAATCCCAGCTAGACCTTCATTCCTATAAACACTCCATTATACATAACTTTCAAAAAAGCAATATAATATCAAACTAGATACTGTTCCTTTACGGCTACTATGAGCTATGACTGGCACCAAAGCTAAAAATTGACTTTCAATTAAATCTATTCTTCTGACTTTTCTTCATCTTGATTTTCTCTTCAAAAATCAAAGACAGTGTCCTGGCCGGTTTGGCTCAGTGGATAGAGTATCAGCCTGCAGACTAAAAGGTCCTGGGTTCAGTTCTGGTCAGGGAGGATATGCCTGGGTTGCAGGCTCCATCACTCCACAGGGGGTGTGTAGGAGGCAGCTGATCACTGATGTTTCTCTCTCCTTTTCCTTCCCCTCTAATCAACAAAAATATATTTTTTTAAAAATCAAAAGTAGTGACACTAACACCCAGACTACATTTTAGAAAAACTAAGTTAAGTAAACATATTATAAATGAAAGGACCCATCTCAAATAATAACAAGAAAAAGGTAACTTATTTTGTTCATAATTAGTAAAGTAAATCCTGTACCTGAGAAGATCTACAAAATCCCAAAACAGAGAAACACTTCCCCTCTGATTTGTATTTCATTTGTTCCTCATCCACTTTAGAGAACGGAATGATATCACTCCCATAGCGGAACCCTAGAGAACAAGAGAAGAGCATCTGTTAAGCACACGGGGCCTCATTCTCTACGAGCTGAAATTAGCCCTCCACATACACTAACAATACACGCACACTCCAGATCAAGCCTCCATAGACTATTCCCTAAAATCAAATTTCTGCCCCTTGTGATGAATGGAGAAGCAGCAGCAGCAGATACACAAACGGCATATACAAAAAGAGTCCATTAAAATCCAATTACATTTTTAAGTACATATTCTGCAATTTAGTTACTTAATGATTATCCAGCCTAGAGGAAAGAATATAGCAAATGCAATGAATTAGTTATTCTCTAAAGATAAACCATGGTTGACTAAAATATAGTCATGATTTGTAAACATAACAACATGAACATATCTCTTCAGAAACCTGGAGAACCACAGAGAAAAATGCCCACAGAAAATTTTCAAAACAAAATGTTATAAAAAATTCATGGAAGAAGCCAAAATTTTTCTATTTAGAAACATTCAATTGATAAATTAAATATTTTTCTGCATTCAAGTTTATTTTATTTCTGGGATTGGATTTTCTATTTTTTTTTTTTTCAATTACTTAGGTTGCTCATATAAATATAGGCTCTTGGTTTCTTTTTTGTTGTTGCTAAAACTCATCCAAGGATATCTTTCCATTAATTTATAGAGAGAGTGAAGAGAGAGAGAAAAACAGAGAGAAACATCAATGTGAGAGAAACACATTGATTGATTGTCGAACCAGGATCTGGACCAGAGAAGAGCATGCAACCAAGTTACGTGCCTTGATTGGAATTGAGCCTGGGACCCTTCGGTCAGCAGGCCTACGCTTTATCCATTGAGCCAAACTGGCTAGAGTGGCTCTTGGTTTCTAAAAAACAAGCAAACACAAAACTCCCACTCTGTCCAAGGCCTCTGCTCTATGGGAGGTCATACATAGAGTGTATATACAGTGTTATATATTTTGTGGGGAGAAGGATCAGCAAAATCCAAGGATTCTGGCTTTGGGTTAAAGGAAAGGAAAAGTATGTGCACTTTTACTCCAGGAAACAAAGAAACTTGTGTTTTTTTAAAATTTCCAACAAAAAGTTATCAGGGAAATGTATGGCACATGATTAAGAGTGATATCGAAACCAAATGTTTTTTTAACTTTTTTGTCATCAGACATCTTCTTACTTAAATTGTTTAATAGTAACGTGAAAATTTCTAGTGAAAACTCTTCTGGGTTTTTTCATTCATCTATTTAAAAGGTAAATCAATAACTCTAACTTTTGTAGACAGCAAAAAAGATAGAATAGACTACAACATATGACCTTATTCCTTTGCCCACATGTACTAGTCCTTCTAAGAAATAGAACTCTACATATTTGGGTAGAGAGCAGAGGATAGGAAAAGGGAGTATGTGAATAACTGCAGAAAGTTTGAGAGACAAAAGTTGCACATTTATGCTCTTTGAACTCAAACCATATTCAACTACTAGAGGGCTGGTGCATGAAATCTGTGCATGGAGGGGGGTTCCCTCAGCCCAGCTGGCACCCTCTCCAACCAGGGACCCCTCGGGATTCACGTCTCATGATCCCCTCAAAGAGCTGCGTCTCCAGACACAGAGAAACATCTCTAAACAATAGTAATGTAAATCCCAGCCCACCTCCTATCACCTTGAAGAACAGCTCTTTTAAGCAAAAGTAGGTACTCTTACTCTAATACCTTGAATAGTGTCGTCTTTCGGAACTTCAGTTTCATCATCGTCATTCAAGCAATAAACGGTTTCTTTTTGTACATCATCCTTTTTTAGGGTTCTTGCATCCACAACTGTCCAACACTTTTTAACTCTCTCCTGTAGAATCTGAATTCAAACGAACAAGAAAACAAGTAAATACATAAATAAATCAATGCGGAGAGAGCAAGGATTCCAATTGACAAAAGGTGACAATCTGATATGCTCTCTACAGAAAATCATCCATATCAGTTAATCTAGATGAACTGCTTTGTTTGCTCTTGTCTACTGTGGGAACTTGAGTTTATTTCATAACTCTTTCTACATTTCATCTTTCCCCCAAGGTAAACCACAAATAAACATTAATATTAGTATGTATTCAAATACTTTCTATATTAAACCCACAGACCAAAAGAATAAAAAGAAGACCATACATTTATTACCACAGTTATCATAAAAAAAGGGGAGACATCTATCAGTAGTCGGAAACCAGTAAGAAAATTTAAAAGAAAACAAAAGCTAGATATGATAATGATAAAACTTTATGCATTCCAGAGAAAGGAAGGCCTGAAACTCATGACTAACCATTATGGAGAGAAAGAAAAATGAAGGAATCAATCTCCATCAGAGATAATTCATAAAGCTTCCTCTTCCAGCATGCCCTTTCCCAAAAGATAGAGATGATACGAACAGGCAGAGCAGTTAAAGAAGCAGTAAGCACAGTACTGAGTAACCCGCTCATGAATTGTCAGTTTCTTACATAAGCATATTTGTCTGCCAGGTAACATTTCTGTAAAAATATGTGCACCAACTACTTACCGATTTATAAGCCAAGATCTTTATTGACAAATTAGAGCCAATGGTCAGTTGACAGGGCCAGGCCATGGAAGACCTCTCAATTTTCTTAAAGACACACAGTTGTCTCAGACTCTCACTTAATAAAAAATAAAGGCAATCTGTAATACTTTTAACAATAAAGATAAATTAAAAATAAATATACAATGAAAGCAACTATTTGAAAACTGTTAATTGTACTGAAATGATGCGCTTAATTTTGTAGAAGGAGAAGTGAACTGGTGTCAATCACAAAGAGAGGAGGAACAGCTGGGGATGGCAGGAATGTGGCAATCACAAGTTGGGAGAAAACCAGGTACAACTGAGTTGGCTCAGTGACAGGTAAAAACAAACATCTCTATCTTCCTCTGTTCGATCTTTTCTTTCACCTCAGCCAGTTGTTCCTAACATTTTTTTCAGGACCGAGGACATGTTGAGGCTATGATAAAAGCACATTCCTAAATAAATTTCACCCCATAGAAAGGGTTCCCCAAACCCCCTGAAAACACGGACCTGAGGGTAAGAACTCCTGTCTAGGGTATCATGGGGTGGGCACCACCCTAAAATACATTGTCACAACTCTACAATTCTTATTTCATTCTAGTTCTCCCAAATAAAAGGCACGTGTATCTGTACAGAATGGAGAGAGTTAAATGAAGATTCTCAGGGGATAAAGGAACTTCGAAGTCCATATTTTAGTTTTAAGGCGAAGCAGATAGAAAATTCTAGGTTTCTTACTGGGGAGAGAGGGGAGAAAATAGAGGAGTGGCAAACACAATGTAAATTGTTGGTTCTTGAGAACATAAATCCAGATCAATTCTACTTTTATCTGGCCCCCAAACAACAGAGGAGATGACAGATGATATCTGGAATTTGTGGTATTCCCTAAAATAAGGAAGAAAGGAACTAATGACTGAACACATCCAAAGCATAAAATCTAGACCAGCGGTCGCCAACCTTTCGGACCTCATGGACCACCAGTGGTCTGATTGATCCCCTTGGTACAGATGAAAAATAAATTAAGAAAAGGGCAAAGAAAATTATGTGACATTATCCAGAGATTTAAAAAATAAAAATTAGGGACTGGTATACTATTTCTTGAATTAAATCAAAATATTTATTAAAGAAGAACTGCTTATTCAAGAGAGGCCCAGAAAAAAGAAAACATTAGGAAGCCCTATGATCAAAAGAGAAATGTATATAGTACAACTGAAAGTTGTAATCAAGGTTTTCACTTCTCACCTGAAAGAATAAATTTCATCCAGCCCATCTTCACCTTCTAAAGACGTCATCACCTTTTTCACCATCCGAATGCCTTCTTTCTGCTGCTCAGTAATTCCTTTTAGAGGAAAGGAGGGCCCATGGTTGTCCGAGGGCAAGTTGCCATCTCCTCTGTCCCCAGTTCCATCTTCCTTGCCAATTGGGAAAGGCAAACTATCAGGAGAAGATCGGCATTGGTTAAGAACACAGGTCCTGAAGCTAGGCAATACACTGGGTCCCAATCCTGTGCCTGTCTCATTGGCTATGAGAAAATGGGTATATCAACCTCTCTGAGCTTTACATTTCTTATCTGTCAAATGGCACTTATCTCTTACCCAATATTCTATGAGGGTTTTTTAATTTATTGATTTAAGAGAAAGAAAGAGAGAGAGAGAGAGAAAGAGAAACATCCATTTGTTGTTCCACTTATGTATGGTATTCATTGGTGATTCTTGGAAGTGTCCTGACCTTGGATCAAACCTGCAATCTTGGCACATCAGGACAATGCTCTAACCCAGTAGTCAGCAAACTGCAGCTCACGAGCTGCGGTTTGCCACTCTGTCGGCTAATGAGTTTGCCGACCATTGGTAGACTAAATGTTACCGTGTAGCTGGAAGCTGTGAGGATTAGGCAGTTGTGGCATATTGTGTGCACAGAGGTAAAGGGTAGCATATGACAGTGGTCAGCAAACTCATTAGTCAACAGAGCGGCAAACCGTGGCTCGCGAGCTGCAGGGTGCCGACCACGGCTCTAACCACTGCTCTACCCAACCGAACTACTCGGCGGGGGCTCTATCACTTTGAAGTAGCTGAAGCCTCTTTAATTTGGGGGCGTGCAGGGGGCAGCCAATCAATGACTCTCTCTCATCATTGATGTTTCTATCTCTCCCTCTCCCTTCCCCTCTGAAATCAATAAAGATATATTTAAAAAAAAAAAAATAGAGAGAAAACTCATGGACACAAATAACAGTGTGATGATTGCCAGGAAGAGGGGGAGTGTGAGAAGGTGAAGGAGGGTACAGGGGGGGATAAATGGTGATAGAAGGAAATTTGATGTGGGGTGGTGAACACACAATACAGTGTACAGGTGATGTGTGTGGAATTGTGCACCTGAAAGCTGTATACTTTTCTTAACCAGTGTTACCCCAGTAAATTCAATAAAAATAAGTAAATAAATAAATATAAGTGCAGTATGCTTCAGCCATGTAAAGGCATCCTAAGATTATGAACAGGGAACAGAAACCAAGATGGGCTTTTGAAGTGCTGGGGGGAAAAAAATCTCAATTCAATAAGAGAAGTGTCACTTAAAAAGCACTTAATTTCGGTGAGGTATCGTTTTAACAAGTTCCAGTATGATGGTTATTCTGAACTACTTTTCTACAGAAAGGACATGCCCCTCCGCAGTTCTAAGAGGGACATACATGCAATTCCCCATGGCAGGCATTTTAAAGCCGAAGGCTTACCACTCTGAGCTGGGGACCTTTTAATAGAGCTCTCGGTCTGAGAAAAGGAGGGTTCCCAGAAGCCTGATAATTCAACATCCTACAATACCACTCTGCTTTCACTAAAAATAGGACAAGAAAAAATAGGCTACAGACACAGCAGGAAGGATTGGTGTAGTCAAAGAACTTTCATAGAAGAGAAAGAATGGAAATGCCTGGAGAGGAAATTCAAGTTTTGGGGGAGGGATTCTCTCCCCAACAAACTGTGAAATATGTTTCCCCTCTCTGTTCATACATCTCATCTCTAAATACGCATAAGCAAATTGTTTTTCTGCACATGTGTGTATCCTTTAGATCTGGAAAACAATTAAAAACAAGCATTATATATGTTTAAAATGATTCCTAAGTTGACATTTCTCCCTACACAAAAAATATCTACTGTTAAGACACAGTTCTCTTGAGCTGTTTAAGAAAGAACTCCATCAATCAGGTCATTGTTTGGGTCAAATCCTCTAAGTAGGCAAGCGATTGAATATGCTCAAAATTTTCCTTTAATTCCTCAATTCTTTGAGTCTAAGAATAGTAAACCATCGGCTATTAAGCTAAATTCTTGTTTAACTGTGAATTTCATCCCTTTATCACCAAAACTCAGAAGAGTTCCTGGAACATGGAAAGTAATCAGTGAATATTTGCTGAAGTCAATCATCTGACAGATCCCAAGTCAGAGCAGAGCAAAGACTCCTGGGAACCAAGCACTCTATAATGAGGCCCACTCATTACATGTGAGAGCACAGGGTTTGTCTACAAGCATTATTCTTACAGTCTTACAAGAATTGCAGGGAGATGTTGGATTTCTTCAAGTTATGAATTATAGTATCCAGCTGATCTTTGCTGAATGGGCTGCTGAGGTCAGTGAACACTTCAATATGCCTCTTCTCAAACTTCTTTCCTCTACAAGAGAGAGTTATCACATTAAGAAATCATCCTCCTGAATTAGTTCCTACAGATTCAAATGTCCTTCACTTGTTTACTAAGCAGAAAGAGGCTAAGGAATTATCTAGATACAGTTAACAAAATGTATTACCTTCCTTCGAGAAGTCAACATATTCTTGATACTCAGTTAAGTTTCTACCAAACATCTAATCACCTAGTTATAACTCATACTTTCAACAACTTAGGCAAAATTTCTTAATAATTTGGAATTATGTCCCTCATTTCATAACTCTGTCTTCAGGTAAAGGTGTGGTCATTGTGATTAAAAAGAATCCCCTTCCAGCTTCCAGAAAGGCAGAAGGTAAACAGGGAGCACTCCCAATGTACTACAACATCAGCCTTGTAAGGGTTCAATTACCAAACACCCTGGTCTGATTCCTCTCACAGGGCTAGTGCAAAGAATGTATAAAAATTGAGAAATTTGCCGAAACCGGTTTGGCTCAGTGGCTAGAGCGCCAGTCTGAGGACTGAAGGGTCCCAGGTTCGATTCCGGTCAAGGGCATGTACCTTGGTTGCGGGCACATCCCCAGTAGGGGGTGTGCAGGAGGCAGCTAGTCGATATATCTCTCTCATCAACGTTTCTAGCTCTCTATCTCTCTCCCTTCCTCTCTGTAAAAAAATCAATAAAATATATTAAAAAACAAAACAAAACAAAAAACAAAGATACATATTTTAAAAGCACAGTAATTAAAAAGTAATGAATTAGAAAATTGACCAGAGTTACTATGCACCTAATTTCAATAACATATGGACCATACTATTTAGTATTTTTAAAAATTCCAGGTGCCAGGACCGGTTTGGCTCAGTGGATAGAGCGTCGGCTTGGGGACTGAAGGGTCGCAGGTTCGATTCCGGTCAGGGGCATGTACCTTGGTTGCGGGCATATCCCAGGTAGGGGGTGTGCAAGAGGCAGCTGATCGATGACTCTCTCTCATCGATGTTTCTGACTCTCTATCTCTCTCCCTTCCTCTCTGTACAAAATCAATAAAATATATATTTTTTTAAATAAATAAATAAATAAATAAATAAAATAAAATAAAAAATAAAAATTCCAGGTAATTAGCTAAGTCAAATAGAAAGGAATCTGTAATAAGCCAAACTTTTATTCCTCCCAGAGAAATTCCCTCCCAATATATTCCTTCCTCCTTTTAAGCTTATATGAGAGTTTGAACTCAACCACTGAATTCTATCAAATGTTTCCTTAGCCACACAAACATGCCATTTGATTAACAATGAATCACGTAATGCACGGAATATATCAAGCCATACAGTTTTTTCAGAAAGGCTCATTTCCAACTCTCTCCAGCTGAGACACTTACACAGTTTCTTGTTGAATCACATCCATGCACACAATGAGTGCATCCAGGACTCAGCTAGTTAAGGGCAGATCTGACCAAACAGTCCCTTTATTCCAAGAATATGCAACTTTTTTCCCAATAAAGCCCACAGTGTTGGAAACTGTAGACACTGGGTTGACTGTGTGATGATCTGAAAGTACCTGCCCAACGACCCTTCCTCCAATCATATACTCACATACGCTATATGTCATATTATACATCCTGAGACATATAACCATAAGAAATAAAATAATCCAAAAGGTAATCTAACTTATCTCACTCATTTAATCAAAAATGATGATGCCATTTTACAATGACTAGAACCCAATTTTTGTGATTAACAGTCCAATTCTTAAAAATTAAGTGAGCCATAATGTAGCGTTTGTAAGTTACTCCCAGCACAGCAGCACCTCCTAGTGACCAGGAAGGCAGTACGAACTGTTACAAAAATAAGAGTAACCCCTTTAAGTCAGGGTGCCTGTGGAAGGAACGGGAAATCTCACAATTTGGCTATGGGCATATTTTTGACACAGAAATAGCCCCCATCCGGGAAAGCACGGAGAATGCTATAGCTCGGGAATTTCACTTACAGATGTATATATTATACTCTTCTAGAAATACCTGCTCCATGTCCAAACATTTCTGACTATCACCACTATCAAACCCTCTGCACACTGATACACACATATACTTTTTGGAATCTTCCCCTTCCTATGCCTCCCAACCTTTCAATCTCACTCGTGCAAAAAGGGAACAAGATTCTATTCTGGAGGAGCAGGTATCCAGGCACCCAACCCAATCCAAATAATTTCCCATTAAATCCTAACACACATTACCTTCATGTCCTCAGAGCCAAAAATGCCATTACAGTCAGAGCTGGGACTCAGAGAACCTCCCCAAAATAAATTATGATCCTACAGATTAAAGGACGTTTCTTAAGTCTTCTTTGGCTGAAAAAGGATACAGTCAGCTTGTTGAGAACCTGGTTGGATTTTGCTTTCAATGTCCTCCAGCAAGTCAAAGTCTGGTAGCATCAGGTGTCTGTGCACTGTGATGTTCTGATACTGATCCTCACAAGCAAGGGCATTCTCGGTGCCATCTGTACCAAAAAGGACTAATGCAATTTCATCTTTGCTCTCAGCAAACACCTAGAGAAGAATGTTAGAAGGCTGAAAACCATATAGTACCACCTGGAAGCCATTAGATACCTATCCTTTAGGGGGAGAGACAACCACGCCTCCCTATGGCAGGTTCCTGGGACCATTGTCAACAGCAGTACATTGGGCTGGAAGGCCCATGGGACAAAGACAATTCCTAGGTTCTAAGCCGACGTTGTCATGAACTATTCAATATATCGGTACCACCTTCATTTCAGCACAACTCAGGGTGGGGAAATAGTAGGATGGTAACTGCTCTTAAAGAATTCTGGCAAAACCAGACTCTAATTCTGAATGAAAACTAATTATGGGTAATTAGAAAAGATTTTAGTCTGTCTTTCTGGAACGACTATTCAAGGTTTACATTTTCCAGAGATTAAAAAACAATGTTTCCTGGTTCTCATCCCAAAGCCCAGGAATTTCACTTACAGGTGTATATACCATAGATAAATTCTTATACATGTACACCAGGATACAATGAGCAAGAAAATTCACTTCAGCACTGTTTATAACAAACTGGAAACAAGCGAACCATCCATCAACAGGAGAAGGCAAACAAACATTGAAGAATATTTATACAATGGGCTATTACTACCTAGTAAAAAACAAAAAAAAAATGTGCAATGTTTATCAACAGAAATAAATGTCAAAAACAGATGGTTGAGGAAAAATAAGCTGCAAAATTACATGCCCCATATAATAGCATCACAGTTTTGAGAGCTGCACACAACACTAAATATTATTTATGAATATACTTATGTCCAAAAGTATAAAATAAGCATGGTATAACCTTACAAATTCTGAGAAAAAGAGGAAGAGGGGAGGAGAAGAAAGATGAGGATTGGAAAGGGATACACAAGGGGCTCCCCATTTATCTGAAATATTTATTTTTTTAAGAAAAAAAAGAAAAAGAAATATGGCAAAACTTTAGGGTCATATATTGCTAGACAATGGGAAAATATGTTCGCATTATATTATTCTCTGCATCTGCCTCTTTTATGAAACATTTCATAATCAAACAGAAAAACAACAACAGTATCTGACACAACAGGCAGTCTTGTCCCCATCTATGATTAAGCCTTTTATATCCTTGGGAAGAAAGCTGCATAGGGAGAAAATGAAATTCTGGCATTCTTCGTTTTTGTTTGGTCTATTAAATTCCCCAGTCAATTAACAACTCATTATAATCCCTAGTTGTACATGGAGAAAAGGTCCCAGCTGCTGGGATTCAAACATGTCCAGCACACCAGTGGGACATTTCTTAAATGATATCTTAGATGACATCTTTTTAAAAAATCATCTCTCATGATTCCATGGGACTCTCGTGAGGCCTGTTTAAAATAGAGATAGCATGCCACCAGCAAAAGGTAACTGGACTAGGCACAAAGTAGTTGAAGGACTTGTTCAAGATCACGAGATCAGTAAACGACATGTTAGAGCAAGGATTCAAACCTAGGCCATCTGGCTCTAGAAACTGTACTTTTAAACATGACTCGACATTGCCTCTTGTGTCTGGTAAAAACTGTAATATCCAGTGGAGGGGCCAAAAATAAGAGAAGGAAAAACTACCAGGCTCTAATGATAGTTGAACTTGCATGGGAGTATATGTAAGAAATGATAGTTGAACTTGCATGAGAGTATATGTAAGAAATGATAGTTGAACTTGCATGAGAGTATATGTAAGAAATGATAGTTGAACTTGCATGGGAGTATATGTAAGAAATGATAGTTGAACTTGCATGGGAGTATATGTAAGAAAACTCCTCAGATTCCAGAGAACACTGAGCCTGGACATTGTAAACAGGCTGGTACCTTGTATTACTAAAGTGGAGGCAACAAACAGCTAGACCAAACAAAAACGAAGAATGCTAGAATGAGTTACAAGTTCAAGGCCAATCTGGCTCTTACCTGTCGCTGCACAAACATGGTCATCACCTTCTTTGCCAGATCGAATGGAGATTCTTCACCAGGAAAGGAGTTACTCATGGCAAAGCCCACATCCATACACAGCACAACAGCTGCCTGGAAACAATATTTGAAAAATGTTTGATGATAGCCAATAAAAAAGGAAAGAAAAGAGATATGCCCTTTGTTTATTTCACCCAGATAACCTGTACTGATCTTTAGGGGATGCATGATGAAGGGAGAGGAAGTGTCCTACTTAGAGAACAGATGTAAGACATACATTTTTACTATAGAGAAAGTTTAAATAGTCCTAATGCTTTCTAAAAGCTAGAAAGTACCTGTCAGGAAGGAGAATGCTCCAGGCAGGTGCTGCTCCTTTAGCCTGAGCCAGGAATAAACCCAGGGGCAGCAGATTTGCAAACAACCTGCAAGCTAGAGCTAAGTCCATACCATGAGCCCCACAAGCTTTTGTTGTAAGCCACTGATTTAGGGCGTAGTTTTTCATATACCATTTTGTGGCAATAAGTGACTACTAGAATTTATATATGCAAAAGTGATTACAACACTTTGCATTGTTTTATAAACTGAGGATCTAAAATTAAGATCAAGACATTAAATCTATCCCAGTAGCTGACAAAGTCATATAAACAAACAATACCAGCACAATGTTCCATGACAGAGATATGCAATGGGCACTAGAGCACACACAGAGAGGAGATACAGGAGGGATAAGGAGGCAGAAAAAGCTGCCTGGATATGAAACTTGGGTGAGTCTTAAAGAATGAGTAGGAGTCAGTCATGTAAACAAGGGCGTGACATATAGAGGGAGCCACATAAAGACATATAGTCATTAGATAGCAATCATGTATGTATGGGATGAAGAAAATGGAGAAAACATAAACCAAGAGGGATACACATAAAATCTATATTTGGCATCCAAAATTTAACCGAATAAGAGTTGGAGACCTGAACAAACAGCAACTAATAATTTCAGAGTGGATTATAAAATGAGTCACTGGTATGACATGGCTTCAGCATTATATCCCCCTCACATATCTAATTTCATCCTCTAAAATATTTTAGGTTGTGTCGATGGCTTATTGAATCCAAGTAAAGAAAAGAAAGGGCTTATGGTGAAAAGAAGACTGGATTAGCAGTCTGAAGACCTGAGATCCATCTCCACCTTTATTATCAACTAGTGGCCCAGTACACAAAATTATGCACATTGAAAGGAAATTAAAGAGAAGAAATATTTTAATATTGCTATTCACCCTTCCTCTATAGTAGAAGTATCCATCAAATTCACAATAGACAATGACAGATCACAACACATGCGTGTAATTGGTGCCATCAAGAGCTTTATATGTATCGCACATGAGTCAACTCAGCCTTTTATATATATAGAAAATAAACTTGCTTAATTAGACCTGCTTTCTGATTTAGCTAAACTTTTTCCAGCCCAGTGAAGCACCCCAACTTCTCTTTCAGGTAGTTGTCAGCCACACAGCAGTAAATATCAACATGAAGATTATTATTGTAGATCACACTGGGAGAACAAAGGGTAAAATATTTAACTGCAGCAGTGTTTGACTATATTCTGAGCAGTTGAGAGAATCTGAAGTCATTTTCAAGGTCCATCATTTCTTACTTCTTGTCAGTTGGGTCATGTTTCTCAGCTTTTAAATCTCCATTTTCCGGCTAATGAAAAGAAAACAGAATCCCACTGACGCTCCTATCTACCTACGCCAGGACTTCTGTGAGGATCAAATGAGATGAGGCATGGGAAAACACTTTGCTTCATAAACATTTGGTTACAGTGTGAAATGTTTGCTCCTGGCTATAAAGCAATTCATGTTCCTGGGCTGAAGAAACTGCAGGGAGGCTAGTAGCTAGGGAGAGGAAGACGGGTATTGCTACGTGATGTCAATATCCTGATTGTTGGACACTTAGAATATTAGTCTTTTATATATACAGATTAGCTCTGAGTCCTTGGATTCCCAAAGTCCTTGGATTCTCCTACTTCACTTCACTATTCCCACTTAAACTCACTATTAATTCATGGAGGCAGAAAGCAGCATTGGACTAAATGAGATCTAAGGTCTTTTCATAGTTAACATTCTTTTGACAGTTTCACCTGTGCTTTGTACTGTCAGACCACATTTGACAAACTGTGAGAGTTTGGAGCATCACATCCTTGAGTAAGATTATTAAAACTTATATGAAATGAGCAGATAAAAGAAAGATCTGAAGAACATTTAACTTGAAGAACAGTTTGGGGGGAAAAAAGGGGGGGGGAGGATATTTAAGCCAAATGAGAAGATTTAGGGGAACATGAGACTTCCTCCAAAATATTTGACAGCTGTGATATAAAAGGATGGTCTTTGGGAGAGAGAGATTAGCAGATAGAAGTTACTGGGAGATTGGTTTGACTCCATACAAGGAGAAAAAAAGAACATTTAGAAGTGATCCATAGAAGAACCAGTTTTCAGAAGCAGTGATCTCTTGCCCCTATAAGCGTCTGAAAAATCAGGGAACTTATACATGATTTCTAGATTTGCTTATATTGCAGGCAACACCCGGAAAAGAAAGACTACTTAAGTTTTTCCCTAGTTTATGTTAAAAATAGTAAACGTCATGTACTAATATTAAAGATTTCTGGAGTAAAGACAGCAGCATGTTTGGAGAAAAGGTGGTAATGAACTACAAAATTCCTCTGAGAATAAAATTTACATCCCATAGTTTCAACGCCTTGAACATAAAAAATATTTTAAAATTTAAGAGTCCCAAAATATGTTGCTGCATTTATTTAATACACATTCATAAAAACTACTTTTAAACAAAAAGGCCTTTTGCTAGGAATGAGGTATCCAAAGAAGGGGCATCAAAGGGCCTCACAATATAGAACTTCTTGCATGGAAGCAGAAGAACTGTCTATGCGATATTTCAAGTTCCTTTCTGGCAGCAGTAAGACTATCAAGAAAGGGAAACTGGGCAACACAGCAGCTGGGTTCATTTATACACCAAAGTAAGCCAGTTAGAATTCTGCTGGAAGCCCACCTGCCATAAACAGCTGCTCCACTAAAGCTGCAGTTTTCAGCAGCTGAAAGAAGATATACAAAAAAGGGGGGTGGCAACATACATTCCTAATCGTGATAGTCAACATGTCCTAACAGAAGATGGAGGGGGTATAAGGGTCAGCTGCTCAAAATCCTTGTCTGTCAGTCTATCAGATACCTCCCACAGGGCCTTGCCTTGGGGGAGCGTGAGCCACTCCCTGGCACACATCTCCCTCTACTGATCCTTCCAGACAACTACCACTCTACCTCTATTAGAGAAATCATTTTAAAAAGTCACTTCAATACCTGTTGTTCATTTGGAACACGGAGTGCCAAAGATTCCTAGCCACACAGAAATTCCCCAGGGCTCTGACACCAGACCAGCTGGGTTCAAATCCGAGTTTGACCAAGTATGGACTGGGAGACCTGGGCTAATTCATCACTTCAACATTCTTCATGCCTGTAAACTGGGGTTAACGGTTTTCAGGGCTTGTTAAAATTAAATGAGATGGGAACCAAGCATTTAGATCAGTTTAGTCTCGCACGGAGAAAATTAGATGATACTATGACACTGTCTATTCCAGTTATTTTCCTCACAGTGCCCCTCTGAAGTGTTACAGCTCTGTGAAGCAGGTGCTCACCATAGCGCTGCCATTCTCATTCAGATTTTAAACACCGGGCTCAAGAGAAATGAAGGAGGGGCAGGGGTGGATCAGAGGGGCCAGAGAGGAGTAGCCCATATAGGAAGGAGGTGGGACAGAAAGGGAGTGAGAGGATGGAAGAGTAGAGGAGGGGGTGGGGAGTAGGCACAAGGCTCAAATGCAGGTCTTAGGACTCCAGCAGATCTCCAGCTTCTCTCACTTTGCATCCCCGCGCCCAGGCCCTGCTGATCCAGCCCATGGACCACGAGGATCTCCCTTCTTTCCTCACTCCTGGACCCCCATGCTTCCTGCTCCGGAAGCGCCCTTTCCATCGTCCGCACGGGCAACGCGCGAGCCCACGGCCCCTCTACCTTGTTCGCCGACCGCGCCATGGTGCCGCTCAGCAGCGCCCGCCGCCTCTTCCGGGCGGGAACCTGCGGCGCCGCAGCACAGTTCCGGCGGACTGGGAACCCGGGGGACCGGAAGTGCGGCTGGGGGGACCGGGAGGCGCGGGGCACTGGGCGCCGAGCATGCGCAGATTCCCTGTGTGCCTCCCTGTGCAGTGGCGCTGGCTGTCTTTTTGAGTTGCCCACGGGTCTAAATACAAACCACATATCCGAAAGACTCATTTTCCTCTCCTCTCACTGGTATCGACACGCACAGCTTTTAATTCCAACTCGAGGGAGTTCTTTGGAAACTCAAATATTATTTTTAAAACTTTTTATAAGACACGCGAGTATAATTACTGGAGACTCACCAAGGAAATGTGCATGCTTTATGCTCATAATTTTGTCTTCTATATAGTCTCTCCTTTCTCTTTTCTCTCTCCCCCTGTCTCACACTCACACACCTTCCAGTACAGCTTTGTTTCCTGGAAGAAATAAGAAATTCTAGTACCTGTGTTTGTTTGCTTCTTAGCCATCCTTAGAAACGTCTTTGGAATCACCCTCTTCCAGGCCGAGAGGCAGGTGTGGTGCTGAGAATGGATATGGAGTTTAAGCACTGGCAAAAGGCCTTCCTTAAAGGTGAAGAGGTAAATGTTATTAATGTAAATATATACCCCGAATAGCCATACCAATCCTGAAAAAGAAGAATAAAGTAGGAGGGATCTCAATACCAGATATCAAGCTGTATTATTGGGTCGGCAGCTAAGTAATTGCGGGTTTCACACATATATGGCTTCAGTTGAATTTTTAGGTTTGCAGACGTAGTACAAATGTAAAACACATTTTGTTATTTTATAGTTGGCTATTCAGCTGTTAATCAGTAAAAAAAAGTTTTTTTGATCTGTTTTGTAGTTTTCGTTTGGCGTTCGTTGAAAAATGGAAAATCAAAAGGAACATTTTCGTCATATTTTGCTTTTTTATTTTCGCAAAGGGAAAAACGCATCGCAAGCTCATAAAAAGTTATGTGCTGTTTATGGTGACGAAGCCTTAAAAGAACGGCAGTGTCAAAATTGGTTTGCCAAATTTCGTTCTGGTGATTTTTCACTCAAAGATGAAAAACGCTCTGGTCGTCCAGTTGAAGTTGATGACGCCCTAATCAAAGCAATAATCAATTTGGACTGTCACAGTACAACACGTGAGATTGCAGAGAAGCTTCATGTATCACATACATGCATTGAAAATCACTTAAAACAACTTGGCTATGTTCAAAAACTCGATACATGGGTTCCTCACGAACTGAAAGAATCACAGTTAACGCAACGCATTAGCAGCTGCGATTTGCTAAAGAAATGTAATGAAAATGATCCATTTTTAAAACGACTGATAATTGGCTATGAAAAATGGGTTGTTTACAACAATATCAAGCGGAAAAGATCGTGGAGCAGGCCAGGTGAACCAACTCAAACAACATCAAAAGCTGATATTCATCAAAAGAAGGTTTTGTTATCAGTTTGGTGAGATTACAAAAAAATTGTCTACTTTGAACTCTTACCACCCAACCGAACGATCAATTCTGATGTCTACATTGAACAACTAATGAAATTAAACAATGCAGTTGAAGAAAAGCGGCCCGAATTGACAAATCGAAAAGGTGTTGTATTCCATCATGACAATGCAAGGCCACACACATCTTTGGTCACTCGGCAAAAATTAATGGAGCTTGGTTGGGATGTTTTGCCACATCCACCATATAGTCCTGACCTTGCACCATCTGATTACTTTTTGTTTCGATCTTTACAAAACTCCTTGAATGGTAAAAATTTCAATAATGATGATGATGTCAAATCGTACCTGATTCAGTTTTTTGCTAATAAAAACCAGAAGTTTTTTGAACATGGGATTATGATGCTGCCTGAAAGATGGCAAAAGGTCATTGATCAAAATGGGCAATACATTACAGAATAAAGTTATTTAGTTCCATGAAAAAATTGTCTTTGATTTTCTTTAAAAAATCCGCAATTACTTAGCTGCCGACCCAATACAAAGCCACTGTTCTCAAAACAGCCTGGTACTGGCATAAGAACAGACATAGACCAATGAAATAGAATAGAGAACCCAGATATCAACCCAAACCTCTATGCTCAATTAATATTTGACAAAGGAGGCACGACTATACAATGGATTCAAGATAATCTCTTCAATAAATGGTGTTGGGAAAATTGGACAGATACTTGCAAAAAATGAAACTAGATCACCAATTTACACCATTCACAAAAATAAACTCAAAATGGATACAGGACTTAAACATAAGACGGGAAACCATAAAAATACTAGAGGAATCCACATGCAACAAAATCTCAGACATATGCCAAAAGAACTTCTTCACTGATACTGCTCCTAAAATGGAAGCTAAAGAGAAAATAAACAAATGGGACTACATTAAAAAAAAAAAAAAAAAAAAAAAAAGCTTTTGCACAGCAAAAGAAACCATCAACAAAACAACAAGAGACCCCATTGTATAAGAGAACATATTTGCAAATGTTACCACTGATAAAGGTTTAATTTCCAACATCTATAGACAACTTATACAACTTAATAAAAGGAAGATAAAAGATCCAATAAAAAATGGGCAACGGACCTAAATAGAATCTTTTCAAAAGAAGACAGAAGGAAGGCCAAAAGGCACATGAAAACATGTTCAAAGTCACTAATTATCTGAGAGATGCAAATCAAAATGGCAATGTGGTACCATCTCAACCTATTAGAATGGCCAACATCAACAAATCAACAAACGACAAGTGTTGGCGAGGTTGGGGAGAAAAAGGAACCCTCGTGCACTGCGGGTCGGAATGCAGACTGGTGCAGCCACTGTGGAGAACAGTGTGGAGTTTCCTCAAAAAACTGAAAATGGAAATCCCATTTGACCCAGTAATCCCATTCCTAGGAATATATCCTAAGAAACTAGAAACATCAATCAGGATATATGCACCCTATTTTCATAGCAGCACAATCTACAATAGCAAAGATTTGGAAACAGCCTAGGTGCCCGTCAGCAGATGAATGGATCAGAAAACTATGGTACATCTACACAATGGAATTCTATGCTGCCACAAAAAATAAGGAATTCTTACCATTTGCAGCAACCTGGATGGAACTGGAGAACATTATGTTAAGTGAAATAAGGCAATCAATGAACTAAAAATACCACATGATCTCACTCATTTGTGGATAATAAAGAACATTATAAACTGATGAACAAAAAGATACAGAGGCAGTAAAGCATCAAACAAACTGTCAAGTTACAGTGGGAAGGTTAGGGAGATGTGGGGGAAGGACTTGTATGCATGCATATAAGCGTAACCAATGAATGCAAAATAGTGAGGGGTGAGGGCATGTATGGGAGTGGGGGCGGCAATGATAAGGTACACTATAATACCTTAATGAAAAAATGAAGGGGGAAAAAGACATTTTTGAAGAGAGGTGCATGAGAGCTACAGTCACAAATGAGGAAAATTGATGCAAGGAGAATAACAATGTTATTTGGGTGCCCCTCATAAGCCATGCCTCCCAATTCGGTTAAGTTTTCCTCCTACTGGTCTAGGCATTTAGGTACCTTATTAGAAAGCTTTTGAAATGATTTTCATTTACAAGCCCACTTATTCCAATAGGTGGCGATCCCAACTAGATTGGGGGTCATATCAACTTCATCTAGATATGGAACTCATCCTCACCCCACCCTCCTCCGTTAAACCATGACCTCCTTACCTTGCTCTAATTATAACTGCTTTTGGCCTGGCCATTGATTTCTCTATCCCCAGAAAAGTGTGGCAAAAATGTTTGCAATTTTCTAATGTATGCTTAAGTAAATATGTGACTATGGAAACAGTCCACCTAAACAAAATCTCCATAAATTGGGGATACTGATAGGGGGGACTTATGATAGAACATCTAAATTAACCTTAAAAATAATCATATTTTTTTAAATCTTAGAACACATATACCTATGTGAATAGGGGGTTAAGTTTCTCATATTGTGAATAGGGAGTAAATTTTTTCTTAAATTTCCTTTTCAAGGCATGTGTGAAGCAATTGAGAAGATGACTCAGCTGTGAATCCAGCAAGCAGAACTGATATGAAAAGTCAGCCCGACACACCAGAAGTCAAAACATCATCTCATCAACATCATCTCATTGCCTGATGATTAAAGGACAATGGCTGACATCCGTACCCAGACTCATCCTAAACCCGTGGTTGGCAAAGTGTGGCTCGCAAGCCACATGCAGCTCTTTGGCCCCTTGAGTGTGGCTCTTCCACAATATACCATGGTGTGGGCGAGTCTATTTTGAAGAAGTGGAGTTAGAAGAAGTTTAAGTTTAAAAAATTTGTCTCTCAAAAGAAATTTCAATCATTGTCCTGTTGATATTTGGCTCTGTTGACTAATGAGTTTGCCAATCCCTGCCCAGCTCTATTCCTCTTTAAAATCCTGTCCCTTGCACCTTGCAGTAAAACAGGATTTGAATGCTTGTAAACACCTGTCTTCTTGGTTGGCTGGGTTCCTCCATAAAAGCCTTAATGATTCAACCTTGCCTTCATTGTTGGACACAGCAACACGCAGCCCGAGCTCAAGTGGGGGTTTCCCAGTAACAGTACATGGAAAAAGTCAAGATATTTTGCTTCATAAACACTTGGATTCAGATTCAGATTGTTATACATGTACTAGAGGCCTAGTATTCATGCATGGGTGGGGTCCCTCAGTCTGACCAAGAATTGGGGTCAATCAGGGCTGTCTCTCCCAGTCCTGAGAGAGGGAAAGCAAGAGGTTGGTTGGCTTTGGGAACATACTGACCACCAGGCGGCAGCTCTTGCATTGGGCGTCTGCCCCCTAGTGGTCAGTGCGTGTCATAACAACTAGTTAACCAGTCTTAACAGTTGCTTAGGTTTTTATATACCAGTACTAGAGACCCAGTGCACAAAATTTGTGCATGAGAGGGGAGTGTGTCCCTTAGCCCAGCCTGCACCCTCTCCAATCTGGGACCCTTTAAGAGATGTCTGACTGCCTGTTTAGGCTCGATTTTACCGATTGGGCCTAAATGGGCAGTTGGACATCCCTCTCACAATCCAGGACTGCTGGTTCCCAACTGCTTGCCTGCCTGCCTGCCTGATTGCCCCTAACCACTTCTGCCTGCCAGCCTGATCATGCCCTAAACACCCCTGCCAGCCTGGTCAGTCCTAACTGCCCACCCCTGCAGGCCTGGTTCCCCCCAACTGCCCTCCACTGCAGGCCTAGTCCTCCCCAACTGCCCTCCCCTGAAGGCCTGGTCCCCCCCAATTGCCCTCCCTCGCAGGCCTGATCACCCATAACTGCCCTACCCTGCTGGCCATCTTGTGGTGGCCATTTTGTGTCCACATGGGGGTGGCCATCTTATTTGTTGGAGTACTGGTCAATTTGCATATTACCACTTAATTATATAGGATAGAGATAGAACAGCCATCATAGTTACTCTTTTTCTTCAAATTGTTGCATTCAAAGCTGTTTGGGAGAAACTCAAAAACAAAGTGAGCACATTTTAACATATTTTATTTTTATTTTGTTTTCATTTCAATTGTTTACATCTCTGTAAAAGTGAAAATGGGGAAACAACCCACAGGCTTGGCTGCCTGCCACCATGAAAGCTAATACTCATGAGACAGGTATGGTAAATAAGGATAGAGGTTTATTCAGGTGCCAGTGACCTGAGAAGATCGTGGACTCTTGTCCTTAAAAACAATCTTAGCATCTCAGTGCAGGAAGGAGTTTTTGAAAGGAGGGAAAGGAAAACAGAACAAAAGGTTAAGGGGAGGAGGTTGAAGGTTTTTTACATGCAGACCAGCGTAGTCCATCCATTCCATTAAGAATCTCAAAACTGGTCAAATGATAATCTGGGTACATCATCCTGGTTTCACAACTGAAGATCAGCAAATAATCTGGAGCTGGAATCCCTGAAGGTCAGAGTTATCCCTCAATGTATGCCCGCAGACATCTGCAACTTTATTGCAGCATTACCATTCCTTACACCAAAAATAGGCTATTCAATTGGAATGAGAACTTGGCCAGAGGTGAAAGCACATATACTTTGATTTGTTACAGAATACATAAGTTTAATCATTAGATTGGTGATATTAAATATGGTTTTTAAAAAAAGCACCAATGAGCACCAAGTTTATCTTCAAAAATGTTGAACAGAATTTTGTTTTGGTCAAACTAATAATAAAAGGTGGGTGTTGCCCTGACTGGGTGGCTCAGTTGGTTGGAGGTTCAAAAGATTGCATGTTTAATTCCAAGTCAGAACACATATTTATGTTGGGGGTTCAATATCAGTTGGGGCACATACAAGAGGCAACAGATGGATGTTTTTCTCTCATATCGATGTTTCTCTCTCTGTCTTCTTCTGTCTCTGAAGTCAATAAAAATATCCTCGGGTGAAGATTTAAATAATCATCATCATAATTGTGGAGAATCTACTGAAGGTGGAATTCAGCACCATACATTAAACAAATGTCCCTGGCCTTCTGTGGGAGATCATGCCCAACCAGTCTTGTTTGCTTCACAGCAGTTCTTTCAACTTCTTCCTGAGACATGAATAAGAAACAAGTACCAGCTATTCTTGTAAGGCCCCAAACTTCCACAAGTGGCTTGATCTAATTTAAAAAATTAGAAATACACCTTCAGGAATGAATTTTTTTTTAAGTTTAAAATTAATCTAATTCACCTGCTTTACACTCCCTGGTGACCAGGAAGACAGTCTTCCAGCTCAACAGACATTGTGTTTGTTGTTAAACTCCAGAAAAGTGTGAGTGAGTGAGACTCTGAGTGAGGTTTATCCAAACAACAGAAAAATAACTCTACCTTCTTCCTGCTTAGGGTTACCAATCTTTGTTATGGGGATGAGGGGAAGGCAGTGGGGAATCACAGATGCAATTCCTCCCTGCACAGTCTTTAATCTTAGAGTAAATTAAATATTGCCACCCAGTCCCACCTTCACTACCAGGGGAAAAAGTACACTAGTACAGTGATATAGTTGTACTCAACCGTTTACTCCTCCCTTCTAAACAACCCTGAAACCACATGACATTACAGTCATTTAATTGCAAAGTACTAGATACTAATATCTATATATAGCTTATACATAGTATATAGAGCTAGTATCTACATATAAAATCTCTAAGATTTAGGCATAAATAAATAAATAAATAAATAAGCAGTTTGACATCTGAATATATGTAAATAATGACTGATATCCTTACTTGCCAATCAAAATAGCCATACTTCTTTTTCCTCTTAAATTTGCATCACTCCCATATTTAGCTAGCATATAACTGCCAAAAGACTACATTCTGCAGCCTATTTTGCTTGTTAGATCATGTGACAAAGGTTAGCCCATGAGAAGTAAGAAATATTGAGTGGAGCTTTGGGAAGCTTTTTTGAGCACAGAAAATGTTTTTCTCTGCCCCTTCCTCTACTCTGCCAGAAACATGGACGAGGTGGCTGCAGATGTAGTCAGCACCAGGGTGTGGAAGATAAAGGTTATGAGGGTCATATTTCACCAATGGGAGGGGAATAAAAGAAGCCTGGATCCAGGGAACTCCATCAGGTCCCCTGATGATCTGCCTCCAGACTTCTTCTTTAGAAGAAAGAAGTAAACTTCTATCTTGTTTAAACCACTCATGTTTTGGGATATCAATTATATGCAGCTAAATAGAACTCTAAGTGATGCCTACAAAGCTTTACATTCTGCTCCGCTGTGGTAAACCTGCTTCCTAAATATTTTACTCCACCCCTATCTATTATTTTATTAGTCCCCCAAGTCCTCCTTATTCTCCCTGTCACACTTACTCACATACTCGCCTGAGTTCCAAGCACCAGTAACATCTTCAAGCACCAGAAATGACACAAAATGAGCTTCTTGTCCCAGATGAATGATCATTTTAGGGCAGGGAATTAAGAAGAGTTTGTCCATTGAATGGACAACTTTTGTATAAATTGCCTTTTTGTTCCCTGCCCTCCTAGAACCATCAAAATAGTTGGACAGATCAGTGTGGGCTAGACTTTTCCGGAAGCACTGTGAGGGGCAGGGGAGTTGGACGATGAAATACAGGCTATGGGACCAGAAGAAGAAGTAGGTGTTGAAAGTTTAGACAGTAGAAGTTTCTACTTCCTGGGTAGGGTCCTTATTGGAGAGATTGCCTGAAATATTATCATATTCAAGCAACTCCACAATGCTATAGGGAGAACAGTCCTCCAGACCCAGCTTGCTACAGAGCCAGCCGCAGAAGCCCTTCTCCATGTCCCGGGCAGCTTGCCACCATGCTCCCCAGGACCACGAGAGCTGGACCACAGCAGCATACAGGCCCAGGGAAGAGGCCATGGCCATGATGAGCACTGGGTAGGAGAGAATGAGGCAGGGGCAGCATGAGATCTTATGCCAGAAGGTCCTCTGCTCATTGTACACTAGGAAGATGTTGTACCAGGTGATAGTGCCATAGTAGAAAGAGACAACAAAGGAGAGGATAAATACCACAGGCAGGCAGATCAGTGTCCAGAGGGCCACGTGGGGCCCACGGTCTGCTGACATCTGGCAGACCTTTCTGCCTTCAGGTGTTGCTTCTTTCAATGACTCTTTAGGCTTGGTCAATTCCTGCAGCTCCTTTTCTGTCAAAGTGACATGGATGTCCACCATCTGACCCTTTTTCTTCCCTCGTGTGATGGTCCCAGTTAATGTGACATAGCGGCTGTCCAAAGGCATGTTCCACATACCTGCAAGGCATAAGAGAGGTGAAGTCAACATCAGGAGTGGACATTTCATCACAGTGTTGTCCCTTGAGGCTGTGGCTGATGACCACAGTGTCTACTTTAAAAAAAATGTTTTATTTATTTTAGAGAGAGGGTGAGGGAGAGGAAGATAGAGAGGAACATCGATGTGGGAGTGAAACATTAATCAGTTGCCCTCCCATATGTGCCCTGAGCAGGGATGGATCCCACAATCTAGGTATTGGCCCAGAAACCTTCCAGTGAACAGGACAATACTCCAATCAACTGAGCCTTACCGGCCAGGGCTAGTGTCCAGTTTTATAGTATCTGTCATGGCATTGGAGACAGTGATTCAGTGGTGGACTGAATTGTTTTTCTCTTTCTTCTCCACTTTCTGGGCCTCAATCTTGACATAATCACTGTGATCAGAGGAGTGTGAGCAATTTACTAGAGACACCACTTTATAGTGATCTTATTTCCAGCTTATAAGCACTGTAAAACTATTGCTTATTAGTGTCAATTACTATGCTTCTCTGAGAGGAGGCCTCCTCACAAGTCTGCAGACATCCCAGCCCTTGTATCTAAGATCTATTCACACACACACACACACACACACACACACACACACAACACATACATAAATACATACATACATACATACCACACACAAATACACTCAACACCACTATTACCAACAACAATAACAACCAAACAGCCATCCTTTGGCCACTCTGGAAGTGAGGTTGAAGATACTGAAATAGGGAAGTCTGTGATCCTCAGTATGTGAAATGTATTATGCAAATGAAGAAGGTGGGCACAGCACAAGTTTTAGGTTGGCATGTCCCTAACATCCTGTTTGATTCCTTTCTGGTCAGGGCACATGCCCAGATTGTGGGCTCAATCTCTGGCAGATGTGCAGGAGGTAGGTAATCAATGTTCCCTATCTCCACCCCCACTTCCTCTCTCTCTAAACATCAATCAAAAAATATTTTTTTAAAAACAATTCTTTATTGACTTCCTCTTGAACTTACAATAAATCCTAACCCATTGCGATAAAGACCCTCTGACCTTTCTGATCTCACACCATTCTCTACACTCACTAACAGAAAATATTCCAGAAACAAGCAAATGATGTTCCCAACTTGGGGTCTTTGCCCTTGCTGTTCTCCCTCCTCTAAAATCTCTGCCCAAGATCTTTTCATTGCTGGTTTCTTCATGTCATTCAGATCAGCTCAAATATCACATGCTCAGAGAGCCCTTGCACATCCATACAATCTCTCGCCCCAGTTACTCATCTTCCCATCACTGTGATTTATTGTCTTGGAAACTTGAACCACTGCCTGAATTATCTTAATATTTGCTGACTTGCTCACTGTCTGCCTTCCTTCCATTAGAAGGTCAACTGCATGAAAGCAGTTGCTTATTCCCTGTGGGTATATGTTTAGAGATGAATCCAACTACACAAATAGATCTGCCTCAGCCATTTGTTGCTAAACAGTGATGCTCAATACAGACACTCCACAACTTCATTAGCAGCAACAAATATTCTTACACATGCCTCCATATACACATGGGCATAAATTGCATGGGGTAGATACTGAGAATTTCCAGGACAAAGGAATGCATATTTTTATTTTAATAAAAATTGACAATTTTTTCCTACAAAGTGGTTAAAGCAGATTCCACTTCCACTTGAGGTGTATGAGCATATGTACACTTCCTCACATTGATGTTATCAGATTTTACCCATTTTTTTGCCAGCCTAAATGTGAGAAAATACTATAACTCATTGTTGTTATAACTTGTATTTTCCTGATTATTATGAAAGCCAACTATTATTGTTTCTTTATCTTACATGTATTAAGTGATTAGCACAGCATGGCTGGTATTACTAAATTTTGTGTATAAGTCATTACACTAGAAGTTCCAAAAAGGCAGAGACTTCCTCCTTATTACCTAGAAGATAATATAATAAGTGCTCAATAAATATTGTCAATTCATTAAATGAAGACTGCAACTTTGTGAAAAGAAATGTATCAACAAGAAGAAATAGGTCAGTGATCAAATGCCTTTCTGTCTTCTGGAGACTCCTCATCTGGTTTCCTTCCCATGGCTTTAAGCAAGTGGCCCCAGAGAGACTTACCATCATCGGCAGGATAGTCTAGGAAGTCGGCTCCTTCCTCCTCTCTAGGCTGGTCTCCACCTTCCGATTCCCCAGGCTCTTCCTCCACTCTCTCACTCTCGGACCTGTAGATGATAATAGATTCTGGGCGGGACTCCTTCCTCTTCTTTTTCCTGCGACCTATTGTGGATTCTCCATCCAGGGCCAGGGCAGCTGTCAGGGCCTTCCTCAGAGAGCCATGGTGGGGGCTTGGGAGCTGGTCCTGACTTTCTACTGGCGCCAGCTCTTCCATTCTAGTCCTCACGTCTGGTTCTTTCTTGTGAAGACTCCTACTTGCTTGGGCAAATTTACAATCCATACATCCCAGAGCTTCTTCCTGGATGGGGCTCTGCAAAGATATCCCAATGATGAGTTCAACTTGAAATATAGGAAAGTAGAGCCATCAACAGGGGTGAGCTGAAAAGGAATTTGGGAAATAATCCTCAATTTGGCAAGTCTTCACCTCCTTTTATGTCTCATAACACCTTATTTCTCTTTACTTCTTGTAACACTTTATTCATGCATTTAAAGTTCTTTTTAAAATCTATTTTTATTGATTTCAGAGAGAAAAGAAGAAGGAAAGATATAAATACCAATGATAATCATCCATCACCTACTTCCTGCACGCCCCCTACAAGGAATTGAGCCCTCAACCTAGGCATGTGACCTGACCAGGAATTGAACCACTAGCTGGGATATTTCTGCATTTTTGAGTGCTGCAGAGATACCTTTATAGGACTGGATTATAGTGAGTAAACTTTTATTGCAATGATGTTGGTCATTTACAAAAACATATATTATGTACTAGAAAACCCACAATCTAGACAAGTATCAATATAATGAAATTGGGTTTGCTAGTACATAATATGTGTTTTTGTAAATTACCTTTTTTGTAAAAGACTTTTGAGGAAGCCTTACAGACAAATGGCAGTGAAGAACCATTCTTACTGTCACCATAGAAGGAGATTCAGATGGCTGCAACCAATACTCCAGGCTTCTGGCTATCAAGTCAGACATTACAAGAATACTCAAATGGATGAATGAATGCAACCTTCAGTGAGGCACCAAAAGATGGCACAACTCACCGAAACCGGTTTGGCTCAGTGGTAGAGCGTCCGTCTGCGGACTGAAAGGTCCCAGGTTCGATTCCGGTCAAGGGCATGTACATTGATTGCGGGCACATCCCCGGTGGGGGGGGGGGGTGTGTGTGCAAGAGGCAGCTGTTAATGTTTCTCTTTCATCGATGTTTCTAGCTATCTCTCTCCCTTCCTCTCTGTAAAAAATCAATAAAATATATTTAAAAAAAAAAAAAAGATGGCACAAGTTCACCAACCACATATACCCTACTGTTCTACAGAGCACACCTCTTTCCTGGCTTCTTGTTGGCCAAAGATCCCAGAAAGTTCCTGGGATCTGCCCTACCACATGCTGGAAAACCAGTAGAGAGGGCGCACACTTTTCACTCTTTAACAGTCTTTCTTCTTCCTCTTTTGTTTGTTTCTTTACAAGGTAAAGAGAGGTTGTGGGTGGATTATAAAATTTTAGAAATCAGGAACAGTCTTACACTTCCTCAGGTCCAGTGGAAAGACCCCAGGACTCACATAGCAGGTACTTTCCCTCTGCCCTGTTGACCTGATAGGGCAGAGGGAAAGGGAAAATATCTATTTAAAAATAAGATAAGAGCCACTGTTAAGAAAGAAAGGCTTAATTATCTCCCCATTTTTATATACTTTATTATGTTGTTAGGGTTTTATCTGGGAACTAGGTTCTGAATACTTCTCCTTCCTTTTATATTCCATAAGCTGGAGGGTAAAAAGGATTTTCTCAGCTTCTAAGACTTTCAGTTGAATTAAGGGAGGAGAAAGGACTGCTCTTTTCCCTGGAAGTGGAGCTTCACCCAACCTCCATGTCCACTCCCATTCTGAAGATGGTCAGTGAATGTGATGCTGCACAGTGTGGCCTTCAATAAATCATTAGCTCCGAATTCTCAGTCATCCTAGGGGGCAAATAGGTTTTAAAGAACATGCTCAGACTCTAAAACTCATGCTTCAAATAACTGGTTTTAAGCATTCTTGAAGGCAACTTTCCATAATTTTTAACTTCACCATTTTCCCCATACCTGTTGTTATAATACTTTGGTCTACTAGCCATCATCTCTTACCTATGATTCTAAAAAATGTTCCTTATCGTCTGGCTTCTACTCCTGCTGTCTTCCAATCAATTTTTCACTCAGTCATTAGAAATACCTTTTGAAAATCTAGAGAGCCACTGTTTTCCCAATACTGTCATAAGAGTGCACCAAGGAATGAGGAAGGTCGAAGGGCCTTGGGTGTTAGCAGAACAAATACCAAGCACCATTTTTCTGTTGAGATAGTGGTGGCTCGAAGCAATTTCCTGGTCTAATAGCCTCAAAGTAAATGTTTACTGAAACTTGCTGATATTTACTGATCTTTAATGACCTTAGAGGCAGTCTGTCTGCTGTTTGCTATGCTTTACTGAAGGCAAGATACGTATCTAAAACTGAATAAAAAGGGGTAAAGCAGGTTTCAATGTGCCTCTCCTAGAGAGAGGTCTTCACCTGGCCCCCCATGCCTTTAAAATGCATATTTTTTGTCTGGTGTTTTCATTTGTGCATCGGCTCCTCCTTCAGATCCTGAACCCTAGCTGTGCAGGTTGTGGCAGGAAGCATTGACACAATCACCATCAAGTTTACATAAAGCTTAAAGCTTAAAACCCTCTTCACTGTTATAAAAAGAAATCCCATGGCATAAGGACCTGCATGACTCAGCTTCTTCCTGGCCTGCTATTCTATGCTCTTCATATATATATATATATATATATATATATATATAATTGATTTTTTTTACAGAGAGGAAGAGAGAGGGATAGAGAGTTAGAAACACCGATGAGAGAGAATCATCGATCAGCGGCCTCCTGCACACCCCCTACTGGGGATGTGCCCGCAACCAAGGTACATGCCCTTGACCGGAATTGAACCTGGGACCTTTCAGTCCGCAGCCCAATGCTATATCCACTGAGCCAAACCAGTTTCGGCTGCTCTTCCTCTTTTTTCATCTATGTCTCCAATGCTCAGTCACACTGGCTGCCAATTATTCTTCAAGACCACCAACTGCTTTCCCTCATGAAGTCTTTTTAAAATATATACATTTTTATTGATTTCAGAGAGGGAGAAGGTGAGAGAGATAAACACATCAATGATGAGAGAGAATCATTGATCAGCTGCTTCCTGCATATCCGACACTGGGGATCAAGCCTGCAACCTGGGCATGTGCCCTGACAGCAATTGAACTGCGGCCTCCTGGTTCATAGGTAGACACTCAACCACAGAGACACACTGGCCGGGCCCTCTTGAAGTCTTCTTAAATGTTGTCTACCACAGGGCCGGTGTGTTGTCCATCCCTGGCCCTTCACGTGGCCATAGCCTTGGTATCCCCCAAGGCTTTCCTGACACCAAACCTAAAATAGGCCCCCTGCTCTGCCTTTCATTATTCCTTTTCAATAAAGCCTATTTCTTGTATAAGACATAACATTTGTAATTAAGTCTTTTTATTTTTTATTTTACTTGTTTATTGTCTATCTCCTCTATTAGACTACAAATTCTATAAAGTAGACTATAAGCTCATACAATTAGGTCAACAAGTAGGTTTACAACAAAATATTTTAAAAGACTGTATTAATAATTTTTGGGGGAGTGACATGGTAGCAATTAAGGATTAGCTTGATTTTGTCAAAGACCAGGATTAAGGGAAAGTTAAGTAAAGAGACATTAATAAGCTCTTTTATGCTTAATAAGCTCAATTATGGTACAATTGTTAAGTGCTACATCTATATTTATTTTCTTCTTTAATAATGGAGGTTTGTAGCTGGTCACATGACTTCCCCGGTAAAGACAATATTGCCCACCATTCCTCAAAGATAAGTGTGATCACGACTAGTCTTTGGCCAAGGGGATGTGAGGAATGTGATATGTGCAGCTTCCACATGTGCACCTCTCTTTCCTCTTTTCACTTTCTTGAGGGCTGGAAAGTGAACTGGATGAGTCATCTTCAACCATACGGACAAGGAAAGCCTGTAGGCATGGCAGAGGAACGAGGGAGAAGGATTAAGAGCCACTCTTCTTCTGGACTGTAATATGAGAAAAACAAATATTTGTTTTGTTTTAACCAAGGTTATTTTGGCCTCTTGAGGCAGCCACACAGAAATCTTAACGAATACATTGGGATTGCCCAAGGTATTGGTTATTTTATGTCCCAACACCTCTGCTGTGTTCCAAGTTATCAGCCTTGGGGCATAAGCAGATTTTGATATGCACCTCAGAGTTAGATCTTAAAATGGCATCACCCATTTTATAGTTCAAGCAGTTTGAATTCATCTGGGTGGGCCAGGAATCCTGAAACCCAGCAGACCAATACAAAGGATACTACATTGATGCTGGCTCAAGCGCCACCTGGAGCCCTCTGGAGAGCTTAATACACTGTATGATACTGTTATGAACTGAATATTTGAACCCCTCTCAAATTCATCTGTTGAAATTTTAACCTCTAATGTGATGGTATTAGGAAGTGTAGTCATTGGGAGGTGATTAGGTTGTGAGGGTGCACCCTCATGAATGAAATTAGTGCCCTTATGAAAGAAATTATGGAGAGTTTTCGCTGAAACCGGTTTGGCTCAATGGATAGAGCGTCGGCTTGAGGACTGAAAGGTCTGGGGTTCGATTCCAGTCATGGGCATGTACCTTGGTTGCAGGCATATCCCCAGTGGGGGGTGTGCAGGAGGTAGCTGATCGATGACTCTCTCTCATCGATGTTTCTAACTCTCTATCTCTCTCCCTTCCTCTCTGTACAAAATCAATAAAATATATTTTTTTTAAAAAGAAATTATGGGGAGTTTTCTTGCTCTTTCTGTCATGTGAGATCAATGCAAGAAGCTGGACACCAATGAACCAGGAAGATGTCTATTCACCAGGCTCTCACCAGACACTGGATGTGCCAGCACCTTGATCTTGGACTTCCCAATCTTCAGACTATGAGAAAAAAATAATTTCTTTAAGCTGCCCTTACTTTTATTATAGCAGCCTGAACAGATTGAGACAGAGACTATTCTCTGCTTGCAAAGAGCTGGCCAACAGTGCTTCCATGGAGAAATGCAGGTCCATTTAGCATGGGTTGCCTGACATTTCATCTGAAAAACCCTGACTTTACTTGTTGCACTGAGTCTAAATTTAAACAAATTGCCAAGTGGACAACCAACCATAACAAACACAAATAGGCTGTCACCTCTAGCTCATAACACTTCCAAATCAGGGTGGCCTGCTCCAATGGATTAAGAATAATTGGGAGTTGACTTTTTGCACTTTGACCCATATGGGCACATCTCCCTCTTTCAGAGAACTTGAACTGGGACTGGGTGGGTGGGATAGCATCGTTTTTTAAGTTAATTTTACCACTACAGTAAATTGTCTTGCTATGCTCTCAATTCTTCTGTTTTGTGTATGTGTCACCCAAAGGACCACATATTACCTGTCTGGGATGGCCAGACTCTCCCAATAGCATCTTGATTCACCACCATTATGTGTAGTAAGCCAGCTAGAAAAATAAAACTTATCATTTTACCACTGAAAATTACCATAGCCGCTCTCAGGGAGACAGTCTCTCCAAGGTAAAAATGAGAAGGAATTTGGCTTAGAGAGGATGTCAAGTGACTGGAACGATGATGGAACAGCAGCCTCCAGTAGTTGCTGTGAACTGGCCATGAGCACAGGGTAGCCTGTTCCTTTGTGATAGTATTTCTCTTGTCAATGCCAACCTACCTGGTTCTGGAAGGTTCTCACACTGAGACAGGTTCATCGCTGAGGGAGGATCTGACCATCTACAGAGGAAACTGTTCCTGGCAGCAAAGGTAGTTGGTTGTAAGGGGCTGGAGCACGTCCTTATTGTAAGATCTCACCTTCACTATCTGACCTTTGGTTTGCTCATGGCACACATAGCCTTTCCACCTCCCATTTCTGCTCCAAACAGGCACACATACCAGAACATAAACTCTGCCAAGGCAGACACACCTAACTGTCTTGTCCTCTGTACTGTAGATAACAGTACTTGGCACCTGCAGGTGCTCAATAAATATTGTGAACTGGTTATGAGTTTTATTTATATAAACCAGCCTCTTATTTCAAGGTGGGATGGAGCTAGAAGCCTCGTTGACACTCCTTCTGCGTGGGGAGTCTGTGAGTCTGAATGTTGAGAATCCCACGGGGCCCTGTCAGTCTGAGCCAGCAGCTGCTTTGCAGAAGGCAGAAAGTGAAGTTACCATGCAGATGGGGCAGGGGAGGGGTGGGAAGATGGGTGAGAAAGAATCTCAGAAGATAAAGAGAGTCATGCTAATAGAATATGACAGGGTGGGAGTGTGGAAGGATTGGGGCCTTGAGGATGCCTTTTTTCCCAGGACAAAGCGGGTAGAGATGCAGAAAGGCAGCACTTGATTCACCAGAGGAGCAGTCAGTGCAGTATGGCGTGGCTGCCCTGAGGCGAGATGGCTCCATCAGGGGCCAGAGTTGAAATCTGGAAACACAGGCCTCTGAGGAGCAGAACTACCGCTGGTCCGCCAGGCCTTCTGGGGTTAGATTCTCAAACCCTGGCTGAGGTCAGAGGCAGAGGAGACACGCCTCTTATTTTTAACAAAAGTCCTCCCAAAGAGACCTCATCTCTCTTCAACATGGGCTGTCTTGGACTGTCTTTCTGACTGCTCATGCTGCCACTTCCTTGCTGCCGAGGACTGGCTCCTGTCCTCCTCGGCAGTCCACACAGGCTTGAAGCCAGTGCAGCCCGCTTTTCACTGGAGGACCACAGAGCCCTCTCCCAGGGGCCAGGGTGTAGCCAGGCGCTCGCTGACCCGCCCAGGCAGAGCTCCATGAAGCCACAGATGCAACCCAGACACAAACCACACAAATTATATCTTCATAACAGTGTTCTTAAAGAAACTTCAAGTGTTCCTTGTGAAGAAAGAGAGCCTGGGGTTTTCTGGAATAAAAGAAATTCCTCAGAACCAAGTCAATATTGCTCTTCCTGTTAAAATAAATATTTTGCTGTTGGGATTAAAGCACCAGGAATTAATTTTTCTGCAATAAAACTTTGAACGTTGCTATATACATTTAATTCTTTGTTATGGAGGTGACAGTGTCATTCTTAATGTGGTCATAACCACGTACCTGACTTACTAGTAGAGGTGACCCATGGGTAAGCCATCTAGCAAATGGAAAGAGGAACTTTTTTCCCTTCGGCAACAAAGATTAGGGGCAAGTGTGTCTTAAAGGAGGTCAGAGAAGGGCAGGTGATGGAGGAAGAAGGAAAAGGATGTCTGAGTGCACTCTCATCATTTCCTTTGCTTTGTGATTAGGTGCTGGGGCCAATCAGATAATGGCATTTGTTTGCTTTCACACTATGTTAATGGCCAGAGAGGAACATACAGCGCTCTGATAACACACTTAGAAACAGCATGCTGCCCGGATGGTTAGACCACAGCACCTGACACAAGCTCTGGATCTGCCAAGTTCTTAGGCAAAGGTGCTCCGGGCCAGGCCAGGTGTGCTCTCCCTCTGGTGGGTTGGCTGAACCAGGGCCAGATGAACAGGAAGAAGGAGAGCCTGACCACAGCACCTGACACAGGCTCTGGATCTGCCAAGTTCTTAGGCAAAGGTGCTCCGGGCCAGGCCAGGTGTGCTCTCCCTCTGGTGGGTTGGCTGAACCAGGCCAGATGAACAGGAAGACGGAGAACCTGAATAACGAACCACTATGACTGGGCCCCCAAACTCAGATGAGAAATTTTCCCCATCTTCAGCAGGCTCACCCTCTGCATAAAGAATGAGCTGGAGCAGTGGTCGGCAAACTCATTAGTCAACAGAGCCAAATACCAACAGTACAGCGATTAAAAATTTTTTTTGAGAGCCACATTTTTTAAACTTAAACTTCTCCTAATGCCAATTCTTCAAAATAGACTCGCCCAGGCCATGGTATTCCTGTGAAAGAGCCACACTCAAGGGGCCAAAGAGCCGCATGTGGCTCGCGAGCCACAGTTTGCCGACTACGGAGCTGGAGGATAGGTTCTCAAACACTCGCCTAGGATGCATTCTTGCTGCAAGCATGCCCCTTCAAGGACTCATGGGTGTACGCAGCCTGGCTGAAATGGATCAGGTCTGGAATCTGGTAAAGGTCGCTTCTCCCTTTCTCTGCTGAGGGGGCGATGAGGTGGAGATGGGCTCGAGTTTATTTTGTAAACCATTTCCTTGTGTCTGCGGATGCCTGCACCGGGCCCTCCTCCACGCCCCGCTCCTGCCCTCCCCGGGTCCCCCCTGAGGATGGAAGGGTCAGGATGGAAGCGGATGTCTTCCTCCCAGCGGGGCCAGCCCCTTCCCTCCCCAGCCAGCCGCACCCAGCATCGGGCCGAGCTGCAGCCTCTCTCTGCCCAGACGCCCTGGAGATTTCATTTTAATCAGCCGTGGGAGCCACAGCACTGAGGACTGCATTTTTCAAAATACAGCACGCTCCCGCCTTTTGTCCGCTTCCCTTCGGCCACCCCCTCCCCCAACACCTCCTGCCAACACCTCCCAGGCATGGGGCTATGAACCAAACCACAGGCACACAAAGGAGGTGTCTCACCTGCACCGGCCTGCGGGGCGGAGGCGGGCAGAGGATGCGGATGGGGACCGCGGCCGGAGCGTCTGCCCGCAGCTGCTGCGGGGGCGGGGCGGGCGGGCGGGCGGGCGGGCCCCGCGGTCACGTGGGCTCCTAGGGCTCATCACCCCCCACCGGCCTTCCCCGGGGAGCACTCAGCGCCCCGCGGTCCGTGCAATGTGGGCCCAGGGCAGGAGCTGCCTGGCGGCCGGCTTGCTGCAGAACAAGGTGGCCATCGTCACCGGCGGGGGCACGGGCATCGGGAAGGCCATCGCGACCGAGCTCCTGCAGCTGGGTGCGTGAGTACCGCCGGCCGGGGCCCTGGACAGGCTGCAGGCAGGCAGGAGGCGCCAGGCGGGTTGCGAAGGCGTGGAGTGGCAAAGCACAGAGGTTCCGATGTGGGAGACACTGTACCTGCTCCTCTGGGGTGCCAAGTAGCGGAGAAGGAGACCTGCGGAAACGTGTGTGGAATGAATCAGGGAAAACGAATCCTTTCCCCTAGGCTGCCTCCGGAGCGGGGAGGACCCAGGAGGACTTCATGCCACTTGAAGAGTGCGTGGCATTGAGAGGCTCCCATCATATGAGCTTTCATAACAGTTCCTGCAATGAGTGGAGGGAGGACTTTATTGATTTATTTTATTTTTGCTAATCGTCACTCAAGGAAAGTTTTGGCCCTGGGGAAAGTTAGAGAGAGTGGAAGGGAGAGACAGAGAAACACCGAGGTGAGGGAGACACATGGCAGGTCTGCCTCCTGCAGGGCCCCAACCGGGGCTGGAGATGGAGCCTGCAACAGGGGGGGTGCCCTTGCCTGGGATGGAACCTAGGACCCTGCAGTGCACCAGCGGAAGCTCTGTTCCCCCAGCCAAGTGAGCTAGGGTACAGGGGGGACTCTGTCAGCACCTGAACAAGGAAGCAAGGGAAACTACGGAGGAGAAAATTGATCAATCTATCCACATTTTTTAATGGAATTAAAAAAACAATGTAAGGAAATATTAAAGGCACATGAAGAAAACTGTTTACAATATACAACAAATGTACGATGCAAAGAGCTCTCGCAAATACAAAAGGAAAAGATGAAACACACTGCTGGAAAAATTGGCTAACTGTAGGGACCAGGTGAACCAAATGGAGGCAGGATGGGGGAAGCCACCAGCAGGGCTGTGGTGCTGCCAGGGGCACACTGACCCGCCCAGGCACAGCTCCATAAAGCCACTGGTGCATCCCAGTCACAAACCACATGGCATTATATCTTCATAAAATTATCGCTAAAAGAAAATGTGTACCTTGTGAAGTAAGAGAGTCTGGAATTTTCTGGGGAAAAAAACACACAAAAAAGAGCTCAGAACCAAATCGATATTTCCCTGGCCAGTAGAATTTCAGACAGCTGAAAAACTGGCTGAGCAACTGACAGCCAGATACAGAAAGTCACCTCCTTAGAGATAACATCGAGGCCTCCTTAGTATTGCAGCTCCAGGCCCAGCAAAGCAGCAAAGCCAGGTGTGCAATGCCAGGACCAGGAGCAATGAGTAAGGACTCCCTGCCCTGGCACTGACCAATCAGTAGCGACCAGGACCCCCTTTGGGAGCACCCTGACCACCAGGGGGCAGCTCCTGCATTGAGCATCGGGCCCTGGTGATTAGTGTGCATCATAGCAACCAGTTCTGCAGTTCAGGTGACATGCACTTTAGCCTTTTATTAGATAGGATAGCCTTCTCTGAATTGGATGCCTTGACAATCAAAGCTTAAATTCTGCATTTACATTACAAGACAAGAAACAAACAAAAGTCTGTAGGGTTTACACCAAGGCTATTAACTAACACCAGGCACCTAGAAAGTACTTAATAAATGTCATACTTAGATTTGAAGATGAAAAGGAATCAGTGTCAGTCCAAGCAGGAAAGCATTTGCCTGATGTAGAAATAACTCCTTATCTGCAAGTTAGTTCTCCATCTTATATCTAAACAAGTTTAGCTTTCAGGATTTCTCTAGCTTCTCATAGAAACAAACCAAAACAGTTTATTCAAATTATTTAGTGTAGGATTTGGAGAAGAATTATATTTAATACATTTGTAGTTTATTTTAAGATAATATAAGTGCACTGTAATAAATTCTAGTAGTATTGAAGTATATAAAAGAAAAAAATTAGTTTCCCCATTTTGCTCTTATTCTACATCTCCTTGGAGATTTTCTATGAACTCACCCAAATGCCCACATATACACACATATGTATAGTAAGTTTCTTTCAAAACTGGGACCACAATATTTTAACTTCTCTGTAACTTTTTTTCATTCCTGGCTAGTACATATGGTAGTATCTCATTCTTTTCAAAGTCATGTCATATTCCATAGAATGAGTGTTCAATAATTTATTTAACCATTCCTTCGATGGACATTTGGATTTCCGGCGTTTTGCCCAGCATTGAAATTTTGTTTGTTTTTTCTTGTATTACCTTTGCACACTAGTTCAAGTTCTGATACCGAACCCAGATTTGGCTGGCTGCTGCTTGAAAGTCAATACTCTAGGGCAGTGTTCTTGACCTTTCTAATGCAGCGACCCTGTAATACAGCTCTTCATGATGTGATGACCCCCACCCATAAAATTAATTTTCCTTGCTACTTCATAACTGTAATTGTGCTACTGTTGTGAATTGTAACGTAAATATCTGTGTTTTCCCACAGGCTTAGGCTCTACAGGATAGGTTCTCAACCTGTGGGTCATGAACCACACAGGTTGAGAACTGCTAGCAGGGTCGCTTAAGAACATAGGAAAACACAGGTATTTACATTACAATCACAACAGTAGCACAGTTACAGTTATAAAGTAGCAACGAAAGTAATTTTGTGGCTGGGGGTCACCACAACATGAGGAACTATATTAGAGGGTTCCAGCATCAGAAAGGTTGAGAACCACTGCTCTAGAGACAGGTGCTGATGAAGGAAAGCAGGAAGAGAGCCGGCACCTTGAGAAGATGGGGGACTCCCATGACAAAGACCATCTTGGCATCTCAGTGCAGGCAGAGGTTTTGATGGGCAGGGAAGGGGAAGACAGAACAAGGTGACCAGAGTGGTGTGGGTCTTTGTGAAGGTGCTGTGTGCCAGTTGGCACAGTCCGCTCCACTAATGATCTTGGAGCCAGTCAAGTGATGGTCTGGAAGGTAAGCAAATCTGGAGCCAAAATGCCTGAAGCCTGGACTTAGCTTCCTAGAATCCTGCAGCTACCTGAGAATTTACAAATCATCCTTTTCAGAAACAATGTTAAAAGAATGGTGGGCTGGGTTACCTTTTGAATATGGTGACAAGCTCTATCAGTTAAAGTAAATAGCCTTTTAAAGTTGTGTTTCAGTAGAGCTCTACTTGTATTGCATAACTTTGCTGAAGCATTCAGGGCTTAGATCACATGTGTCAAACACAAGGCCCTCGGGCCAAATCCGCCCCGCCAGGCCTTGCAATGTGGCCCGCACCGCGCTGTCATCACTGCACTCCGCTGCGTTTCCATCACAATGACAGTTTATGACTGTTCGTAAACCATTCGGCCCGAGATTTAGGCTGGATTTTAGATTTTGGCCCCTTCTCTGATTGAGTTCGACACCCCTAGGCCTTAGATAATAGGCAGTGTCAATTTAGAAAATGTTGGGTTTGATAATTCATGTGAAAATCCTACTTGTATTTTCACTGTATGTCTTTGTTTGTTTTTTGTTAATCCTCACCCGAGAATATTTTTCCATTGATTTTTAGGGAGAGTGGAAGAAAGAGGGAAAGATAGAAACATCAATGTGAGAGAAACACATGGGTTGGTTGCCTCCTGCACAGGGCCCCTACCATGGCCCAGGCCAGGAAAGATCCTGCAACCCAGGTAACTGCCCTTAACCAGAATGGAACCCAGGACCCTTGGTATGTAGGCCGATACTCTATCCACTGGACTAATCAACCAGGGCTCACTGTATGTCTTTTTTGAGGCATTGGACCAGGTCAGGCATTAATCACTTTAGTATCCTGAGTAATTATTGTTTTGTTGTTTCTGTGTTGTTGTTTTTGTTTAGTTTTTGTTTAAAGAGGCTCAATCTCTTAATATGGATTTAGGGAGAGTTACACATAAGAGTGTTTGCTTTTTTCATCCTCACCTAAGGATATGTTCATTGATTTGATAGCAATCCAGTTCCTGTTACTCCATCTTGAAGCAGAAGTCCCAATTCATTCTTTTTATGGGAACACATGAAACATTCGGTAAATATTATTATTTGTGGGATTTTTGCCAACCAATGAAAGCATATTTACTTGTCCTTTGGCTGTTTTTTCCTCAGGTTGTAATGTGGTCATCTCATCCCGTAAGTTTGATGTATTAAAATCTACTGCAGACGAACTGAAGTCCACCCTGCCTCTCACCCACCAATCTCAAGTCACTCCCATAAAATGCAACATCCGTCAGGAAGAGGAGGTACTGCAACTATGCCCATGTCATTTATTCGTTTTTCATCCATATCAATGGTTCCTAAACTGAGAGTGCTTCAGGTTTGCTCATGTTACCTGCCTTAGATGAGGTTCAGGAGAAGCAGAGCCTGTGAAGGAGGCTCAGGAGAAGGAGAGAGGAAGGGAAGCAAAATTGTACCTCCAGCTTTCTGATGTGTGGACATTGTGGTGAGAGATTGTAAGCTCTCCTGTAGCAAACCATCCATCTGAGTAGCAAATAAGGTCATTAACCAGTGTACTTTTAATGTTTTTCTTCAGGTAAATAATTTGGTCAAATCCACCTTAGATATTTATGGGAAGATCAATTTCTTGGTAAACAATGGAGGAGGCCAGTTCACGGCTCCTGCTGACCACATCAGTGCGAAGGGATGGCATGCTGTGATTGAAACCAACCTGACAGGCACCTTCTATATGTGCAAAGCAGGCAAGTGTGATCACTGCCCCCAACATTCAAGGCGTCTTTGTTCAAAGATCATAGAGAATCCTGAAAGAGACACTGTTAGGGGCTCAGAAAGCTCAGTTTTCAAGATTCACTGCCCTGATTTACTCACACACAGGATTGTAAATTGCTACAATTCTGGCTAGTAATTTGGCAGTATTTATAAAATATGGATATCTGTTGATCTTATAATTTTATTCTAATGAAATTACCATGACAAAATTATTAAAGATCTGTACAAAGAGATAATAACAGAGTTGTTTATAAAATTAAAGAAAACTCTCACACTTACTTTGTTCTTAAGAAATAAATCTGTTTTAATAACCTGTTAAGTCAGTTAGGTCCTCGGGGAGAAGACCGGACAAACTCCACATTCTTTATTCTAACAATTAATTAGCATGGCATTGTCTTTAGATTACAGGTTTGGTTTCAGTCATTAAAATGTCCTTACTACCCAGAGCAATCTATAGATTTAATGTAATTTGTATCAAAATATCAATGGCATATTTCACAGAATTATAATCTAAAATTTATGTGGAGCCCTGGTGGGTTTCGCTTAGTGGATAGAGCTTCGGCCTATGGACTGAAGAGTCCCAGGTTCAAGTCCAGTCAAGGGTACATATCCAGGTTATGGGCTCTATCCCCTGTAGGCAGCATGTAGGAGCCAGCTGACCAATGATTCTCTCTCATCATTGATGTTTATATTTCTCTCTCTCTCTCCTTTCCTCTCTGAAATCAATAAAACTATATTCAAAAAAATAAAATTTATGCAGCCCCACAAAAAACCCCTAATAGAACAGTGGTCTTGAGAAAAAGAGAACAAAGTTACAGGTTTTACAGTACCTGATATCAAACTATACTACAAGTGCATAGTAATCAAAACAGCATGGCACTAATATAAAAAGAGACACATAGATCAATGGAACAGAATAGAGAGCCCAGAAATAAGCCCATACCTATTTGGTATATGATAAAGAAGGCAGAAACATACAATGGGGTAAAGATAGACTATACAGTAAAATATGTTGGGAAAATTGGACAGATACCAGCAAAAACATGAATCTAGATCACCTTTTACACCATATACAGTGGTTTAAGCATAAGCTCTTAAGTGGACTAAATACTTGTAATGTATGGCTCAAAATCATAAAACTCCTAGAATTAAACATAGGCAGTGAAATCTCTGGCATGACTCTTAGCCATATATTTTTTCTGATATATCTTCTTGGGTAAAGGAAACAAAGAAAAAAAGAAACAAAATATACTGTATATGGAAATGCAAAGAGCCAGATTAGCCAAAACAATTTTACAAAAGAAGAAATTTGGAGGACTTATATTTCTTGATTTCAAAACACCATGGTACTGGCATAAGGATAGATGTATAGATAACTGGAAAAGTATTGAGAGTCCATAAATAAAACTTTATATTTGTGGTTAATTGACCTTTGTCAAAGGTGCCAATAATTCTATGGGGAAATGATAGTCTTTTCATCAATGATACTGGGACAGTTGAATCTCCACATACAAAAAGACCCTTACCTCACACTATAAATTAAAGTTAACTTATAGTCCAAAATGGATCGTGGGAAAAGTAAATTCTGAAACTTTTAGAAGTAAACAAAGGAGAAAATCTTTCTGATCTTAGGTTAGGCAAAGAGTCCTAGGAACCACTACCAAAATCCCCATATATCTATAAAATATAAAATTGATAAACTAGACTTGAAATTAAACATGTTTATGCTTCAAAAGACACCATTAAGAATGTGAAAAGATATCCACAGATTGGGAGAAAATTTTCCAAATCACATATCCAATAAAGAACTTGTATCCAGAATATATGAAGAACTTTTATAATTTGATAATAAGAAAGCACCCCAATTAAAAAGTGGAAAAAAGATTGGAGTAGATATTTCACCAGAAAAGATATATGTAAAGCTAATAAGCGCATTAGAAGATGCTCAGCACCTTTGATCACTAAGGACATGGAAATCAAAACCTCAGTTTTGACGGTACCACTTCATTTCCACTAGAATGGCTGTAATCAGCAAGTCAGACAATGCTGGTGGGGAGGAACTGGCGTCCTCATGCATTTGTGGTAGGAATATAACATAGTGGAGACACTGAAAAAGTTTGGCATAGAGTTCAAAAGCTAAACATAGAGTTACCATATGAATGCGATTTTACCCTTAACCTGAGAGGAACAAAAGCATGTTTCTACATAAAAACGTGTTCATAATCATCCCAACTGTTCATCAACTGGTGAATGGATAAATAAGACATGGCACATCCATACAATGGAGTACTATTCAACAACAAAAAGGAGCTATTAATATGTGTTACAACATGGATGAACCTCACAAACATTCTATGAAGCCAGACATAAAAGTGTGATTCCATTGATGTGAAATATTCAGAAGAGTTGAATCTACAGAAACAGAAAATGAATGGGTATTTGCCCGGGGTTGATTTGGCTGCAAATGGGCTCAGAGGAACTTTTTGGGGTGATGGAAATGTTCTAAAACTGTATTGTGTTGATAGTTGCACAACTCTGCATACGTTTTTGTTTTTTTTTTTAATAAATTTTTATCATTCATATTATTACAAATGTTCCTTCCCCTCCCCCCCCCACCTTTGCTCTCCTCCACCAGGTTCCCACCCCACCCTCTGCCATTTCCCCACTCCCCATTGTCCTCATCCATAGGTGCACAGTTTATGTTCAGTCTCTTCCCACATCCCCCTCTCCCCTTTTCCCCAAGAATCGTCAGTTCACTCCCCTTCCATACCTCTGATTCTATTATATTCAACAGTTAATATTGTTCATCAGATTTTTTTTTAATTTCCTTGGTTTTTAGATTCACTTGTTGATAGTTACGTATAATTTTTATCTTTATTTACTTTCTCTTCTGAAAGAACCCCTTTCAGCAATTCGTATAATTCTGGTTTGGTGTTGATGAACTCCCTTAGCTTTTTTTTATTTGTGAAGCTCTTTATCTTACCTTTGATTCTGAGTGATAGCTTTGCTGGATAGATTATCTTTGGCTGTAGGTTCTTACTATTCATCACCTTGAATATTTCTTGCCATTCCCGTCTGGCCTGCATGGTTTCTGTTGAGAAATCAGCTGACAATCGTGTAGGTGCTCCTTTATAGGTAACTACCTTCTTTGCTCTTGCTGCTTTTAATATTCTCTCTTTGTCTTTTGCTGTTGGAATTTTAATTATGATTTGTCTTGGTGTGATCCTCTTTGGATTCCTTTTGTTTGGAGTTCTGTGGGCTTCCTGGACTTGTAAGTCTATTCTTTCACCAGGTGGGGAAAGTTTTCTGACACTATTTCTTTCAGTATGTTTTCGATATCTTGCTCTCTCTCATGTTCTGGGACCCCCATAATTCTGATGTTGGTTCGCTTGAAGTTGTCCCAGAGGTTTCTTACATTATCTTCAATTTTCTGGATTCTCTTGCCTTCTAGCTTCTGCGGAGGAGGGTCTTCTGGCTCTTTATGTTCCAACTCTTTGACTTGATTCTTGCAATCTTCCATTCTGTTTTTAGGACTCTGTATAATATATTTTATTTCAGTCAATGTATTCTTTATTTCTTGTTGATCCCTTATCATTTCTTGTTGATTCCTTATCATTTCTTGTTGATTCCTTATTAATTCTAGTTTATCCCTTTTCATATCCTCATAGGTCTTATCCATCTTTTCTAGGAAATTCTTGAAAAACCTTATAAGCGTAGATTTGAACTCTATATCCAGTCGCTTTTTGTCCTCCATTTCTTTCGTTTGTGATCTATTTCGTCTCGGCATTTTCGCAGCTTTCCTGAGTTGGTAGCCTTAAAAGTCTCTGTGTTCTGCTTGGATGGGGCGGGGTTTCAGGGTGGAGCCTGCAGCTTTGGCTTTCGTCAGCCCCGCCCTATGTGGGTCCTTCAGTACTCGCTGCCAGCACCTCTGAGAGAAAGGTGCCCTCAATTTTTGCCTGCTGCCAAACAGTCTATACTCTCCCCAAATGAGCCTGGTATTGGGGTTCAGTTCCGTTGGAAGTGGAGTTGGAGGTGGCGTTCAGAGCAGTCTGGAGCCCCAGTCTCCTTCCCGTCAGGGCAATCCCGCAGCACAGCCGACCGTCCCTTCTCTGTGCGCAATGTGCTGCCGCCGCCGGGACCTCCTTTCGCCGCTCCCCCGGGGTTCTGCCTTACAGCCCAGCTCCCTCTGGATGAGCCTGGGTCCCCGGCGTATGGCCTAGAACTGGGGTTCAGAGCAGTCAGAACTGGGGCCCAGCACAGTCAGAGCTTTTATCTCCTTCCTGCTAGGGAACGCCAGCCAGGCACTCAGTCTCCCTCCTCTCCGGCTCCATCCTCTCCGCGCGCCGTGTGTCTCCATACCTTAGGCTTTTACAGCTCCTCCGCTCTTCCTTCTGGTTTTCTCCTTGCTTCTCGTTGTAGACTTTCCAGGCAGTCGACTTTCCTGTAGTTCTAGGTAATGTCCATTTTATATTTTAGTTGCATTTTATTGAAATTGTTGTGTAAGGCTGCGGCTAGGTGTTTACCTGTCAGCCATCTTGGAACGACTCCTCTGCATACATTTTTAAAGGATTTTATTGATTTTTAGAGAGAGAGGAAGGGAGAGAGAGAGGGAAAGAGGAACATCAATGTAAGAGTGGTACATGGATGGGCTGCCGCCTGCACACTCCCTACCAGGGATTGAGCCTGCAACCCGGGCATGTGCCCTGACCGCTATATAGCCAGCAACCTTTTGTGCACAGGATGACACTCCAACCAACTGAGCCACACTGGCCAGGGCCACTCTGGATATTTTTTTAAAAATCATTAAATTGTACACATAAAGTAGATGGCTTTTGTGATGTGTAAATTGTACCTCAGTAAGGCTTAAAATATAAAAAAATATAATATAAATATGAATTAAAAACGTACCCTAAAAGCAGCATGCTGGGACAGGGGACCAGAGAAGGGTCAGCACACTGTTTAATATGACTGTCATCTGTCTGTTTCCTTCAGTTTACAACTCTTGGATGAGAGAGCATGGAGGATCCATTGTCAATATCATTATTGTTACTAAAAATGGATTTCCGGGATTTGCGTAAGCATTTATATGTATATATTTTTTTCCCTTATGTGTTAAAGTTTCAGAAATAGTAAAACAAACAAAAAATCACTGAAATCATCATCAGTGAAAAATTTACTGTGCACACACCAAAAGACTTGTAGCAACCACACTTGTAACCCTCAAATTACCAATTTGTATGTTTTCATAAAAAAGTTTTCAATATTCCTCTTAATCCCTGTGAATTGGGGAATCTTATGTGGGCCCGCACAGTGAAGTTTGACAATCAGACAGCTGTGGTTTGGCTCTAACATGGTAGGACCCAATTCTTTCCCATTGTTCAGACAGACTCAGACACACAGTTTCATGACAAGAAGGTTCTTGTGGGGTTGACAAACCCGTCAGTTTAGTTAATGAAGAAACATTCAACAAAAGCTAATTAATTATAGTGTTTATATCTTTTGTGTTTTAAAGGCATAGTGCAGCTGCCAGAGATGGTGTTTACAACCTCAGCAAAACCTTGGCTTTGGAATGGGCCAGCAGTGGAGTAAGAATCAACTGTGTTGCCCCTGTAAGTAAATGTTGTATATGAACAAGCTGTGCGCTTCTGATTCCATTTATGCTGTTGATAAATGGAATTTATCACTGTTGGTATTTGTCACTGTTTGTATACTAGAAAAGATTGGTTTTTGAAAATGGATGTGAATATTCTTTGATTTACCAGTATGCTTTGATTAGATTCTTAAGGTTAAAATAAGCCAATGATTTTCAATTCTGGCTATATATTAGAATTATCTGTGAAATGTTTTAAAAATTGTGATAAATGAGCTTAGCTCCAAACTGTGCAATCCAAGCATAAGTATTTTTGAAAACCTTCCAAGAAACTCAAATGCACTGTGAAAGTTGAAAATTCGCTACTTTAAAGAATGAATTTTTCTGAATTGTTTTATTATTTCTTGGCTTATTATGAATCTTTTATTAAGAGAGAGAGAGAGAGAGAGAGAGAGAGAGAGAGAGAGAGAGAGAGAGAGAGAGAGAGAGAGAGGGAGAGACTTAAAGTCAAAGTTTTAGGAAGAAGCTCCCAGTTGAAGAGCTACTAGAAGTAAAGAGAAAATTTCTCTGAAACCTAATGTAAGTCATGGGGGGAAACCACAATATGTTCCACTTCAAAACCTATCATTTTTGTGTGAAGTAACATATAGCTTACGCTTCCTTGAGTATTACTCGTTGGCCCTGTACTGAGACATTAAATGAAGCATTTCACTCCTCCTGTAAAAGTCAGCTCACATGCACTTCTCTGTGATGTTTCCTGGTCATTGCTAAAATAGAGGAATTGTTCCTCAATCTGAAACTTTGTAATCTGTGGCTATTATCTGTTACTCTATACTACCTATACATATTGTCATCCATGTTTCTCAGTGCGAACTAAGCATGAACTGATTTGTTGACATTAGTAGAAAATCTCCTATTTAACAAACTGCAGGCTCCTAGCAAGAAACTTCATTTCCATTTGGTCCTTCATAGTTGACTTTATCTTACTCAAATTCCATGCAAATATTTATAAAATATTAATTCCATTCTTAATTCAGTTACCTTGCATTACTGTCCTCTTAAAACCTTTAGTGGGTTGTTACTGTAATAAGCTCCTTATGAAGTCTTATTTTTCCTCCTGAGACATTTTTGGGTTTAAAGTAGAAAACTTAATACTTTTAGAAGATGTCATCCTCTTTCAACAAAAGGTTGCAAATTGTTTAATGGGAAACCAGTATATCATCCCCCTATCATTTGGAGTAATACCACACAATTTCCTCATCTCTTACACCTCCTGTTCCTCTCCTCCTCCCCATAATCTCTGTTGTGGTTTTGAGCCAGTAACAAATAGCTTTATCCTGTGTTAAACAGGTTTTGAGTACTTTTTCTGGCTTTATAAATCCATGAAAGCTATTATATATAGAAGAATTCTTAAGCAATTACATTTTTCTTTTCTTTATATTAGACTCACATGCTTTATTTGTGATTTTACTTTAGGTGAAAAACCATGACAATATTGCATTTTCTAAGTCTCGCATAGCCATGGCCCAGTCGTATGTGTAAAACAGAGAAGCCCAGTGGAAGATAAAATAGACTCCCCTGTCTCATGGTTTGTCCCAGTTAAGAGCCCACTAATCTGCTCATATGATTATGCTTTCAGAATCCAAGTCTTTTATGAAAAAATTCCAGGGCTTTGCTGGTTATTGAGGAAGGGAAGGTTATAAAACGAGCATTCAGAAAATTCATTGTAGTAGTCAAGCACTATTAAATTTTCTCAATATTAGCACTGTCACCTTTTCTGTTACAATTGAGCCACTTAATTTTTGGTATTGGTTGATAGACTTTCTTGATGCCTTTAGAATTAAATTTAATCTTATGTACTTTATTTTGTTCCTATTTTATATGTAAACATAGGGAATCATTTATTCCCAGACTGCTTATGACAACTATGGTGATTTGGCCAAAGACTTATTTTGGGGGTCCTATCAGAAAATCCCAGCTAAGAGAATTGGAGTTCCTGAGGAGGTAAGCTATATTTCTAACCCCGATTAGAATGACTTTATTTCACACTTTGGAACTTAGTAACATTTTGTTGTCTGTTTTACATCGTGTGGTGGGCTGTTAGAGATGATAGCTCCCACTGCCACTAGACCATGTTTCCTGGAAAATGTGACTACTTTAGCTTGCAACTCAACTGCACATTCTTTTCCTTGAGGAAACCATTATACTTCTATATACAGCAGAGCTTAATGTGTCATTCCTCTTTCGTCATGCAGGATATCAAAAAGGTGTAGGCTCAGTGGTAGAGATTAATAATTTTTCCTGCTTCACCTAAGACGTGAACCAGGCTGCCCCCACCCCCAGAAGGTACTTGCCTGTGAAGGATATAATGACTATTGGTATAAGGATCACTAGGTCAGTTTTTTTTTTTTAATAAATCTTTATTGTTCATATTATTACAAATGTTCGTCATTTTCTTCCCCTCCATTGCTCCCCTCCACCAGGTTCCCACCCCACCCTCTGCCCTTTCCCCACCCCCACTGTCTTCATCCATAGGTGCACAGCTTATGTTCAGTCTCTTCCCACACCCCCCACACCCCTTTTTCCCAAGAATCATCAGTCCACTCCCCTTCTATACCTCTGATTTTATTATGTTCAACAGTTAATATTATTCATCAGATTTTTTAATTCCCTTGGTTTTTAGATTCACTTTTTGATAGTTATGTATTTGTTGATCATTATTTTTATCTTTATTTTCTTCCTCTTCCTAAAAAACCCCTTTCTGCCATTCATATAATTCTGGTTTGGTGGTGCTGAACTCCTTTAGCTTTTTTTTTTTATTTGTGAAGCTCTTTATCTGGCCTTTGATTCTGAGTGATAGCTTTGCTGGGTAAAGTATTTTTGGCTGTAGGTTCTTGCTATTCATCACCTTGAATATTTCTTGCCATTCCTGTCTGGCCTTCATGGTTTCTGTTGAGAAATCAGCTGACAATCATATAGGTGCTCCTTTATAAGTAACTACCTGCTTTTCTCTTGCTGCTTTTAATATTCTCTCTTTGTCTTTTGCTGTTGGAATTTTAATTATGATTTGTCTTGGTGTGATCCTCTTTGGATTCCTTTTGTTTGGGGTTCTGGTGCTTCCTGGACTTATAAGTCTGTTTCTTTCACCAGGTGGGGAAGGTTTTCTGTCACTATCTCTTCCAATAGGCTTTCAGTATCTTGCTCTCTCTCTTCTATGGGACCCCCATAATTCTGATGTTGGTTCGCTTGAAGTTGTCCCAGAGGTTTCTTACATTATCTTCAACTTTCTGGATTTTCTTGTCTTCTTGCTTTTGTGGAGGAGTGTCCTCTGGCTCTTTATGTTCCAAATCTTTTACTTGATTCTTGCAATCTTCCATTCTGTTTTTAGGACTCTTTATAATATTTTTTATTTCAGACAATGTATTTTTTTATTTCTAGTTGATCCCTTTTCATATTGTCATAGGTCTCTTTTATTTTATTGGCCTTTTCTAGGAAATTCTTGAAAAACCTTATAACCATGGTTTTGAACTCCATATCCAGTCACTTGTTGTCCTCCATTTCTTTTGTTTGTGATCTGTTTTCTTGTCTCGGCATTGTCGCTGCTTCCCTGAGTTGTTAGAGTGGCTTTGTGTGCTAAGGTGTCCTATATGGTTCAGTGGGTCAGTCTCCCAGTTACCTGAGGTAGACACTCTTGGTGCACCTCTTTGTGGACTGTGTGCACAGCCTTATTGTAGTTAAGTCTTGATTGTTGTTTGTATCACTGGGAGGAACTGACCTGCAGGCCAATTGGCTCTGAGGATCAGCTGTGTCTATGCTGGGAGACAGCCTTATTCGACTAGACTTGGAAAATTGCAAAAGCCTCTGTGCTCAGCTTAGATTGGGCAGAGTTTCAGGGTGGAGCCTACAGCCTTGGCTTACAGCCCCACCCTATGAGGTTCCTGAGTCTCAGTGTTCCTCAGTGTCCTTCGGTATTCACAAGCACCTCTGAGAGAAAGATGCCCTCAAGTTTTGCCCTCTAGCAGACAGTCTAGTCTCTCCCCCAATGAGCCTGGAACTGGGGTTCAGTGCAGTTGGAAGTGAGATTGGAAGTGGGGTTCAGAGAAGTCCAGAGCTTTTGTCTCCTTCTCACTAAGGCAATCCATTGGCACAGTCAACAGTCCGTCCTCTGCGCGCATTCACATGCATGCCTCCAGAGATCTGCCTTTCGCTGCTCCCCTGAGTTTCTTCCTTACAGCCTAGATTCCTTTTGTATGAGCCTGGGTCCCCAGGGTCTTGCCCACAACTAGGGTTCAGTGCAGTCAGAACTGGGGATCAGCACAGTCCTGAGCTTTTATCTCCTTCCCGCTAGGGAAACACAATCCAGACAATCAGCCACCCCCTCCTCTCCAGCTCCGTCCTCTCCCCTCGCTTGCACCATGTCTCCGTACCTTAGGCTTTTACAGCTCCTCTGATTTTCCTTCTGATTTTCTCTTTCCTTCTATTTGTAGAATTTCCAGTCAGTCAACTTTCCTGTAGTTCTGGATAATGTCCATTTTGTATTTTAGTTGTATTGTTTGAAATTGTTCTGCAAGGCTGCAGATAGGCGTTTACCTATGCCGCCATCTTGGTTTCTCTCCACTAGGTCAGTTTTGTGTTCCTGCCATGACTCATGCCGAGGCTCCAGCAGTCTTTCCCACCATTACTTTGGCACCATTAGCACAAATATCAACAACATGAAAAATGCAAATAAGGAATTAATATTATTGGCAAAGTAGTTTTGACCTTTCCAATTCCCTTAGGTACACCCAGAGTTTTGCAGATCATGCTTTAACTAACAATGTGGATCTAACATGTCAAACTCGTGACCTGTGGGCCACATGCTTTGTTTATTTGCCCCATGTTAGCCTTTGAGTTTGACAGGCCTGATGTAGACGTTACCTTCAAAAGGTAGTTATTGTGGTAGTTATTGTGAGATGCAGAATAAGGAGAGACTTTGGCTTCTGCTTGATTGTGTCCTAACATCCCTAGCTCATGTTTCCAAGATATTCTGTTTGCTCTAGTCAATCACCAATGCTCTGTTTTGGGCAGAATTTTCACACAAGGCCATTGGCCCAACTTCTTAACACAAAAGTTGCCTTCCTTTAATTGATGGTCCCTAGGGTAGTTAGGGGGTCAGAATGTAGCTGTTGTTTCAAAAGGAACTTGCTTTGACCTCTCCTGGTGTCTGTCAGTATCTCTTAGAAAGGGAATGCAGCACACGGCAGACATTAAATTTGCTTGTGAGAACCTGCACACTCATTTTTACAAATTAAGCAACAAAGGGCCAATGGGGTTCAGTAATCAGCTAAGGCAATGAGGAGATCATGGTACTGACATTCTAACCCAAGCCTATTTAAAGCTTTCCTGATGTGATCTTTTTTGTTTTTGGGTTTTTTTTTGTGTGTTTTTTTAAATATATATTTTATTGATTTTTCACAGAGAGGAAGGGAGAGGGATAGAGAGCTAGAAACATCAATGAGAGAGATACATCGACCAGCTGCCTCCTGCACACCCTCCACCGGTGATGTGCCCGCAACCAATGTACATGCCCCTGACCGGAATCGAACCCAGGACCCCTCAGTCCACAGGCCGATGCTCTATCCACTGAGCCAAACCAGTTTCAGCCTGATGTGATCTTTGATCCACAGAGCTGAACATAAATAGGTAACTGAGCTAAAAGAGATGTTGGCCACATAAAGTTGATGCAATTTGCTAGTCTCTATTAGTGTTTATTGATAGACAAAATTATGGTGAATGCTTAGTACTTCAAGTCCATCCATCAAATGGATTCCATTAAAATGAAAGTTAAGAAGACTTCATCTGAAGATACAATAATCATGCCTAATTAATTTGGTAATTATCAGAATTTCATTAGTTCAATTTAGCTCCATGTGGAGCTCCAGATAAAAAGTAAAGCAAGCATCATGAATAGTTACATGTCTTTTAGCTAGCAGATAGCTTCCATTCAATTCAATATTATTTAATGGTGGGCAAAGACTGGATTAGGAGCTAGGTAATGCAACATCCCCTCCTTTCGGGGGAAGAGGGACATAAAGATTTCTTCATTCTGTACATATTTATTAAGTGCTCATTTTATGCAAAACACTGTCAAAGGTCATAGTTACATGTGTGAGAGGGTTGTTCTGTGGCTGGATTTAGAAAGGAGCTTATTGAAGAAAATCTTCCTAACTGGCTGACTTTTAGGATCGAGGAGCTTTCCTTGGTTGGTTGACTAGCAAAACACGTTCACAACACAAGTTGTCATTGATTGATTAAACAGGGTATACTGAGTCTGGTGGTTAACATTACCATGGCTCAGATTTCTCTTTCCTCTCCCAATAATGTGGGGACTTATAAATTATTGATTCTAAAATAAATATAGCTCAGCTGGTGTGCTTCAGTTGTTGAGCATCTACCCCGGAACCAACAGGTCACAGTTTGATTCTTGGTCAAGGCATATGCCTGGTTTTCAGGATTGATCCCTAGTAGGGGGTATGCAGGAGGCAGCTGATCAATGATGTTTCTTTCGTATCAATGTTTCTAGCTCTCTATCGCTTTCTCTTCCTCTGTCTCTGTCTCTTTCTCTCTGAAAACATATCAGTAAAGCAAATATAAAAACAGAAAAAATAATAGTCACATATGTAATCTTAAGCTTCCTAGTAGCCAAATTAAAAAAAGGTAAAAAGAAATGAACTTAGTTTTGACAATATATTTTATTTAACCCAATATATTTAAAACATCATCATTTCAACATATAATCAATCTAAAAATGATTAATGAGAGCTTTTACATTCTTCTTTTTATATCAAGTCTTCAAAATCCTACAGCACATCTCAATTCAGACTACCCACGTGGAAAGTGCTAGTGGCCTTTGTTTTAGGCAGTTCAGTTCTATGGTAGCTGCTGGAGACACAAGGATGGAGAAAAAGCTACGCCTGGCCTCCAGGATCTCAGAGTCTCAACCCACCATAGCTACATGGCTACAGTGCTAAGTATAGGACCAGGACTAGAGTGAGTAAACAAGCTGTGGGCACACAATTTAAGAGCATGCTCACCCTCAGGGTTGTGCAAGTATAGGGTCTGCTCCAAGAGTAAGCACCTCCTTCAATGTTGCACCCTAAGCTCCTCATTAGCCTCACCCAAGTCCCAGCCCTGCTCTGGACCTGATCAAATGGTAGATTCTGGGGCCCCAACCCCAGAGCTTACATTGCAGAAGCTCTCACACAGGGTCTAGGCATCTGGAGTTTCAGTAAGCACCCCTAAGCATTCCAGACGCTGAGGACCCCCCTTTGAGGAACCTGGCCTGTGCCAACAGCCTCCATGTGAGTTCCTGTACATCCAGCGGAGTGATGTCTCTCTTTCTCTCCGGTTTTTGGAATAGATGTATCCGAACTCATCAGCGATCTAGCTGAATTTTTAGGGGATGCTCTGGGATTCTAAAGTGTCTCTGGCAGAAAGCTCCTGCCGTCTGAGTTGCTGGGCTTTTGGCCTGCAGGACCATACACTAAACTGACAGGCATGCCATGTCATTGTTCAAAGGCACATTGACTACTTCAGGGACACAGATATAAAAGGCACGTGGGAGTGATGAGAATATGGTTGTGGTGGGCAATGAAAGGCGTAGAAGGAATTGAGTTGTTTGAAATGGAAAAGAGTCCAAATTGAGCCATGTGTTTACTTTGCCTTCTTCACGTTGTGTAGCTTATTTGATGCCCTCAAAGGCTCTGCCCTATCTTGCTGTCTTCACTGGAATCCCTTACCTGATTTGCATGATGCTCAAATAAAAAAAGGCCGCTGTCTATGTACTGCCCGCATATGGTCCACATACACCTTGGAATTCATGTTGTAGTCGTGGGCTCTGAGATGCGTTTACTCAGGATTGGGAAGCAGGCAAAGAGGAGACTCATCAGCTTCTCTGTGAGCATGTGAGTGTGTCCATTTCCAGGTTTCCTCCTTGGTATGCTTCCTGCTATCTCCAGCAGCTTCCTTCGTCACCGGGCAGGTGGTGGACGTGGATGGGGGCCAGGCTCTGTATAATCACATGTTCCATGTGCCAGGTGAGCAGTCAAGCAATGAGGAGTCACTGCCCTTTTCGTGATCATAGTTTCAACATGTCTGAGGTAGTCACTTAAGAGATGGGAGTTTTCTCTTTAGCACATCAAAATGTGCAACTGTTTATATTCATGACATGATTTTTAAAGGAACTATCCCTCATCACAAAAATATCTAAATGTACTTATTTATAAAACTTAACTTTATATATATTTTAACAGGGTTTTTTGTTTGGTTTTGGTGTGTCTGTAAGTTGGTAGAATTTAGCCTTGAGAATATTTTTCAAGGTTCAAATTCTACCAACTTACAGACACACCAAAAAGAAGAAGGAGAAGAAGAAGACGACGACGACGACGACGACGACGAAGAAGAAGAAGAAGAAAAGAAAGTTGCTAACCAAACTCCCCATAGCCAGCAAGCTTTAATTGTGTATAATGTTCTTTTTCCTAAAGTTTCCTTTTTTTTATTCACAGATAAAGAGGATTCTTTTTATTTTCATTACTCAGACAACATTATATCAATAATTCTAAATAAACCTAGAATTAAATCTTGTTTCTAAATAATGTAATTGCACCATTTCAACAAATCAAACTTCCTTCATTTTAGTTCTAGGACTTGTGTATATGGATATATTCTTATTATCTGACGATAGTCATATGTAAATTATTTTATTTTCAGCTTTTTTCATTAATGTATATCATTTTATAATAGTATTGTTTCTATATTTTCTATGTTTATTATTTTTTTTAAATTACATACTATCTATTAAATAGGCACCATAATTTACTTAATGATTCTCCTGTCATTGGCTGTTTAACTTATTATTATAAATAATATTTTCTTTCTAATTGCCTATACATATGTAAAAATATTTCACCATAGACATCTTTATAGAAACTATTTTTCCTTTTTTTTTTTTTTTCTGGTGTTCATCCTTAGGATTAATTCTCACAACTTTAATTACTGCACAAAAATAATTAATGATAATTTCTATAAAAATACATTAACTTATCTGTCATTGCAGTATAGGAGCATACCAGTTCCACTATACCTTCCTCAAAACTAATTTCACTACATTAAAAAGTTTAATTTTTAGGCAAAATAATTTTTCAATTTAATTTGCTTTTCTTAAATCATTACTCCTGATCAACATTTTTGTTACATATTATTAATAAAATTATTTTTTTCTTCTGTGAAAAAAAAGAAAAATATTCTCAATATGAGTATATAGGTTTAAGGAAGAGATGAAAAAAGGCAAGAGGTTGCCATATTGGGTTTTTTTAAGATCTAATTCCTCTTAATTCTTCCAGTAAGTGGCTTGTATCGATATATCTGAGCAGAAGAATCAGACATGTTAGGTGGAGCAGGGTAATGGTGCTGTTTTACACTATCTTTGGATATATCTTAAATGAAAACTTATGTATTTACTGTATTTATTTTTATTGTATAAATCAGTAGTTTTTAAGGCTCAACCAATTTAGGCATTACACACAAATGTGTGTGTGTGTGTGTGTGTGTGTGTGTGTGTGTGTGTGACTGGACCAGAGAACTTGAGATTGAAAGGGTCCTAAAAAAATCAGTCTAATATCCTAATTTTGCAAATGACAAAACAAATTTATAGGAATTAAAAAGTACATTCAAGTTAATCACTCCCAAAATATAGAAAAAGTTATAAAATTCAATGTATTCAAACTGTAGCTCAAGATAATTGACTAAGTGGCTAATAGCAAATTATTGATTAAAATGTGGTTAATGTAATGCATTTGTCTTTGAGTTTCATATCAGGGACCCAGGTTCAACCTACTTTTGCATGTGCTAACAGTCTGATCAAGGGTAAAGACCTTTGCATTGATAAATGAGTAGCATGAAACTGTAATATTACTTATTATTTTCCCCTCCCATATATATTTCTTTATAAATAGCATCAATGGTACTTTGATTTCAGGGCCTTAGTTAGGAACACAGAAATGCCTACATGGTTATGCGGTATTGTTTTCTGATAGTATTTAAAGTAGCAAGAGTGGGAGAGAATCTTTCCACTTCCCTCACCAGAGTTGAGTCAGTAGCATTGGTTCAGGTGAGTTGCACTGTTTTTCCTTTATAAAGGGAAAAGAACTTTAGGTGGCTGCTTCTCCTGGCCTCCAGTGTAATGATTTTCTTTTGTAATTCTAACACTGTTTTTATCATTACAAAAACATTTTTTTTTTAGGTTTAAAAAAATATATGTTTTATTGATTTCAGGGAGGAAGGGAGAGGGAGAGACAGAAACATCAATGATGAGAGAGAATCAATGATTAGCTATATCCTACATGCCCCCTATGGGAATTGAGCCTGCCTGGGAATCAAGCTGTTACCTCCTGGTACATAGGTCCACCCTCAACCACTGAGCAACACAGACTGAGCATTTTTAGGTGTTTAAGGAAGGCAGTCACATCTATTTTTAAAGAATATACTCCCCCGAAATTAATAGGAATACTTAGCCTGTTCTTGTGGTGTTTTCTTTATGATTGCCAGCCCTGGGGAGAATGCCTGAGATGGAAAGCTGGCTATACTCTTATTAGCTGTATGACCTTGGGAAAATTAATTTCTGTAAGCCTCCATTTCATCAGTTGGGTTCACTTATAGTATTAATTTTGTAAATTGTTGGGAGGTTCAAGTTTGATAATGTACACTTAAAACTAGGTCATATGGGATGGTTTCAGATGCAACTCAAACTGGCTTGAGCCATAAAAGAATGTGTTGCCTTGAATAACTGAGAAGCAGGTGAGATGTGACTCAGAAGCTCAATGGTCTCACTAAGGACATTTTTTTGCTCCTACTTGAATTTGCTTCTATGGTGTTGTCTTTAAGACTAACTCTCCTGGTTGCAGGATGGCTGCCTGCTGCTCCTATAGCTTCATGCTTCTTTTTTCACACCCATCTGGACAGGGAGAGAAGGGGGAGGGGAATGACTTTCAACATTCCTAACAAAATTCTGCTTTGGACCAGTTTATGCAAATGACCATCCCCAGCCAATAATCACCGTCAGGGGGATGGAGTTGGTTGGCTTAGATCAGTCAGTCATCAGTCAGTGGTGTGAGTGTGGTCACTTCCGCAGAACCCCTTGGAATGGTAAGTGTAAACAGGCTATTAGAAAGAGGAGATGAGGGACTGGATGCTGGGGAGGCAACTAGATGTGCCTGGTACAAAGTAAGCACATTGTTTTAAAATCATCATCATCATTAAGGAAGTAATATTTATTGAATGTCTACAGTATGCCAAGTGCTGTACATATGGCATCACGTTTAATTCTCACAACTTGAAAAGATAGATTTGGTTATCCCCTTCAATAGGTGAGAAAACCGAGGTTCTGAAAGAGTAATTTATCCCAATTCTGAAAAGCTAGTAAGTGGCAGAGCTGGGACTCAAACCCAGGATTTTCTCAAAACCTGTGCTACTTGTCCTAATAATTTATTTTTTCTTTCTAAGAAAAGGGGTGAACCAGGGAAAATAACAAGAAGGTTTGGTGGAAACTGTTTAGACTTGTAATGTTAATAGATTTGCTAGTGACATGAGGTTTTTTCCACTTACTTAACAGATCATGACAACTGGCCGGAGGGAACAGGGGACCTTTCTGTTGTCAAAAGGATGAAAGAGTCTTTAAAGCTTAAATCCAATCTCTAAACTAAAGAAAGAAGAAGATGATTTTTGTCCCAGAATGCCTTAACATCTTAAGAATGCATTTTTGTTCTTGATAGGAGCATGTAATTTGTATTGACAAATCACTGTGTTTTTTGAATGTTTTCAGTTTTGTCTATGCAAAACTATTCCTGAAATAAAAGCATTTTTAAGTCCCAACTAATACCATTTAACCTGTAATTAAAAAAAAAATTAAGAATGGAAATTAACATACCTTATGATTATACTGCTAATTCTAAGAAAGGTATTTGAGGAGTGGAATACTTTCTAATTAATAATAGAGATATCATGATCTCCTCAAAGATTTAATTGTAATAAATCTAAATTGGGGCACCATTGTGATTCCAACAGTGGAGTTATACAGTGACTCGTTTTACCTGGCAAACACTTTTGGACCAATAAAGCTTTATGGTAACTGTCGATGTGTGGTTTGTTTTCATGAAGTCGAATTTCTATAAACTTTCTTAACACAAAAGATTGGCTAGTAGGAAGTAAAGAGGACTTTAAAGAACATGGAAATAGCAGTTACCAGGAATAGCTACTAATCTATTGGGACTGAGATGAAAAACCCTTCTCTTCCCACCCCACCTCCCAACTGACATCCAAACCTTGTTGGGAGGGCACGGGCTAGCCCACTTGATGGCTGGGCAGTCACTGTGGTGTTCTGCTGGTGGAACTTGCTGGAAATGTGCCCTCTGGAACTTGCCCGAGAATATCCACCATCTAGGGTAAGGTGACCAGATTTTCACATTGGTAAAGCAGGACACCATTGATTAGGGGTGGGGTTCTTGATTAAAAATTTGGTCTATATGGAGCAACAAAAATTTTCATTGAATGCAAAAATAGTATTGTAATATATATTTTTAAATTTCAACATTGTTATGCCCAGACTTTGTGATCCCCAAGGACCACCAGGGAGCCGAGTCTGAAGCAATAAACAAAAGAGCCTCTTCCATGCTAGCATGGGCTCTGTCCCACTCACACCGGCAGCATGGCGGAAGAGAGACCGAATTTCGCCAAGCCCAGGGGTTTTACTCCGGTGATGATGCCACTGCTTGGGCTGAACCTGATTGGTTGGGTGAGGGCTAGGGTCCAGTTTCACAAAATGGAGGACAACTCTGCCCTGCCCTACAGTGGAGTCAGGAGTTTATCCTCGCCCTGCCCTGCCCTCTCAAACATAAGTACAATTTATAAATATAATAAATAAATTATGTATAGTATTATTTTATTCTTTGGCATATTTCTCACTTGAGTGAATTTTTTTTAGTAGATTGCTGTCACTTAAAAGGTCATGAAACTTTTCACAAGAATTTGTTAAATTATATTTCACACATAAAATGGCTTTCAAAGTCTCAACACTAAATTAAGATGGCCACACTTAATTTACTGTAGAAAAAACGTGTTCAGTCTCAGTTCCTGGTAAGGACAGCGCATATTCCACAATTCTAACAACTGATCAACCATGTGAGCTTTGATAAGCAGTTCTCGATAATCAGTTCTCAACAATTATTTGTTATTATTAAAGTTTAACATTATAAAATAATATAAAACTCATATCCAGGCTAAATAGCCACGTGGCCGCCGAAACCATGTATTCCCTTCCCGTTCTCCCGCCGTTCCCTAGCTTGTCGTGCATTCTTTCCAAAAATTGGGACTGTCCCACCAAAAGCGGGACGTCTGGTCACCTTAATCTAGGGTGCCAGGGAAACTTCACAGGAGGAGTCACCTCAGAGTCTCTGCTGCACAGCTACCTGAGGGAGGTGCCAGGAACACTGGTGCTGCAGCTGCTGCTGGCTGCCCTGCCAGACTGGAGTCTGGCACCACCACCATGGCCTGCAGACTGGAGTCTGGGAGGAAAGCCTTCACCTCCTACAGTGTCCCTCCATCGCCCTCTCCTGACAAAGCTCAGTGTCAGCTGGCGAAGGAAAAGCTGAAGGGCCCAGATCCATTGTCACAGAGCTGAGAGTCTATCACTGACCCACTTGAGGCCTTGGTGTCAAGCAGCCTGTCACTCTCCTTAAGGAACATGGCCACTTCAGGGCTCAGTGTTGGGGGAGAGCAAGGGACCAAGAGCACTGAGAGTGGAAACAACAGGGTGATAGTCGTTTAAGCAGATTGGGGAATAGCCTATGGCTGTTCATGTGTTTGGCCAGGAGGAGAAAATAACATGTAGATTAAGAAGCCCTGAGCTGTCTGGCAGCAAGCAATGAATCTATGTATCATTTTCAGGTTTGGGGAAATGCCTTCAGCCGTTCCCAGAAAGCGACAACAAATGTGACTCGGCATTTGTTGAGTCACAAAGTTCCATCAACCTTTCGATTAAACTCTTGTAATTATGACATGCTGGAATTGACTTCCGACAATTAGCTTCTGGAAGCAGAGGGATCAGTATTGCATCTGCTGAGGCCTCTTCAGGCTGAGGCATTGGGATTGGAAAAGAGGGGAGTTTGTGGCAGGGAGAGAACCAACAATGTTAGTGACTGGTGTGGATTCAGAAGGTGCGATTGAAGTGGAGTGAGCAAATAATCAAGTTGGAAACATAAGAGAGAAGACATCGGCTTGATAGAGCCCAATGGGGGAGTAGGCTCTATTAAGTGGCCCTGTTAGCAGCCTACCCACGTGGAGACACCCAGCACAAAGGGGAAAAGCAAGCCCTGAGGCTGAGGTTTGGGGTCAAGACAAAGTGGGGGACAGGAGGGAGACATGGGAGCAACAACAGAAGTGGAGGCACCAGGGGAAATTATCCAGGAGATGGAGATGAGAAGACCCAAGGCAGAGCCTTGGGAAATTATGGCAAAGAAAGAAGAGGCAAAGGAAGAAGAGGTGTTATGGAGTGAGTCCCCAAGAAATGGATCACCAAAGCCAATTTGATTAAGCCAGCAAGAATTTTTTACAGATTCGAATCCAGGCTCAAACCTTGGCTGACACAGCAGCTAGCAAACACCCAGGTAAGAGCCCCGATGTTTCTATCTTTCCCTCTTTTCCCACTCTCCCTAAAAATCAACGGAAAAATATTCTTGGGTGAGGATTAACAGAAAACAAACAAAAAAAGAACTTTTGGAAAGTGGAGATACCCATATTTCTATAGGTGTTGTTAACTGTGTGTCCTCCTACTAGAATATAAGGAACAGGAGGACAAGAACTGTTGTAGGGGTCTAGTAATAATTAATGTCGTTTTTAAACATTCGTTTAAAATCTTGCTTGGCGTTGACTTGTATTGACATAACCTTCAAACACGTGGTATCTACAGAACGTGTGAAGTGCAATTAACAAGTTTTGCTTGAAAAAGTTTGTGTTTGGTTTGGTTTTTGTTGCAAAACTAGGGCTAAGAAGATGGCGGATGAAGAGCATATTCGGCACTGCATGCTTTACATTTACAGTTCCAATTAGGAAGAAAAGCAAGTGAGGCTGCAAAAAACATCTGTAGTGCTCTTGGTCAAGATGCAGTTAGCGCCAGAAAATGCCAGCGTTGGTTTGAGAAATTTTGCGAGGGAAATTTTTTCTTAGATGACAAGAGTGGTCGAGGCCGTGTGTCCAATTTTGATCAAGAAGCTCTTCAAGCTCTTTTGGTGCAAAATCCTCAAATTACCCAACAAGAGCTTGCGACAACTTTAAATTGTTCACAAAAAACAATTTCCAATCAATTGAGTGCACTTGGCAAAGTCCAAAAGTTTGGAAAATGGGTTCCTCATGAGTTGATCGACAATAACCGTAATCAAAGAGTCACAATTTGCAGTTCGCTCCTCTCTCGTCAAAACCGTTTGCCGTTTTTAGAGCAAATTGTTTCCGGAGATGAAGAATGGGTGCTGTATGTTAATTTGAAAAGGCAGCCTCAATGGTTGGACAAAAATGAGGCTCCGCAGCCCGCGCCAAAACCTGACTTGCATGCGAAAAAAGTGATGTTGTGTGTTTGGTGGAATTTTAAAGGAATTCTTCATTATGAACTTTTACCATCTAACCAAACCATTACAAGTGCAGTGTATAGTGCCCAATTGGAAAGGTTAGCCCAAGCTTTAAGAGAAAAAGAACCCGCGCTGATTAATTGGAAGGGCGTAATTCTTCACCATGATAACGCACGACCGCATACTGCAAGAATCACTGCTGAAAAACTGCGCCAGTTGGAATGGGAAGTTCTCCCTCAACCTGCATATTCTCCTGATATTTCCCCTTCTGATAACCATTTGTTTCGTTCTTTGCAAAACTTTCTTCTTGGAAAAAAATTTAATAATGAAGAATGCCTCAAAAATGCATTGACCGAATTTTTTGCATCAAAATCACAAGAATTTTACAACAGAGGGATTAAAATGCTTCCTGAGCATTGGGCACAAGTAGTAGAAAACAACGGCAACTATATTGTTGATTAAATTTTGTTGTATTGTTTAAATAAATTTGATTTTAAAAAAGTATTAGAAAACGACATTAATTATTACTAGACCTAATATCTCTAAGGAGGTGACTTTCTGTATCTGGCTGTCAGTTGCTCAGCCAGTTTTTCAGCTGTCTGAAATTCTACTGGCCAGGGAAATATCGATTTGGTTCTGAGTTCTTTTTTGTTTTTGTTTTTTCCAGAAAATTCCAGACTCTCTTACTTCACAAGGTACACATTTTCTTTTAGCGATAATTTTATGAGGCAGACCTGCCATGTGTCTCCCTCATCTTGGTGTTTCTCGGTCTCTCCCTTCCACTCTCTCTAACTTTCCCCACATGTCTCTCACATCTGTCCATCTGTGCTTTGCCACTCCACACCTTCCCAACCCGCCTAGTGCCTCCTGCCTGCCTGCAGCATCTCCAGGGCCCCGCCGTGGGTACTCACGCACCCAGCTGCAGGAGCTCCTATTTTATACATAAACATGGGGAATCATTTATTTCCAGACTGCTTACGACAACTATGGTGATTTGGCCAAAGAATTATTTTGGGGGTCCTATCAGAAAATCCCAGGTAAGAGAATTGGAGTTCCTAAGGAGGTAAGCTATATTTCTAACACCGATTAGAGTTAGGAAAATAGAAAACTAACATTTTGTTTATATTTATAGTTTCTTTTTTGTTTTTTTACTTAATGAGTGGACTTTGTAACGTGAATCTTTTGGATGCAAGGACCAGGAGCAGTCTAGTTCTCTAAAACTGAGTGAAATTGTCTTACATTAACAGAATTCTGAAGTATG